CATGACACTATATAGAGAGAACCCTAAAGAGCCCACCAAAAAGCTATTTAGCTTATAAATGGATTCAGTAAAGCAGCAGGATACAAAATTAATATTCAGAAATTATTTGTATTTTTTTAATTAAAAGATTTTATTTATTTATCTTTAGAAGGGGAGGGAAGGAGAGAAATATCAATGTCTGGTTGCCTCTTGTGGGTCCCCTGCTGGGAACCGGCCTGCAGCCCAGGTGTGTGCCCTGACTGGGAATCAAACCACAATCTTTTGGTTCATAGGCCCTCGCTGAATCCACTGAGCTACACCAGCAGGGCAGAAATTATTTGTATTTTTATATACCAATAATGAGCTATCAGAAACAGAAATTAAGAAAATGGTCCTGTTTAGAATTGCATTAAAAAACCCCACTTAAGAATGAATTTAGGCCAAGATGGAGACGTAGATGGAGGATCCACCTTGCCTCTGTGCACAACCAAATCTAAGAACAACTATTTTTAACAGCAGTCACAACCAAGCCACACGGAAAATCGACAATACGGAGTCCAAAGGACAACTAGATACTCGGCTGGACCGGTACAAGGAGCGAGGCCAGCAGCGGAGCAGGTTAGCAAGAAAAAATTCCTGGGGCGGTGCGCGGTGCGCGCAGGCAATCGAGGGCGCTGATCGCCAGCGAGCTGGCTGCCGGAGCGCACAGGGAAGAGGCGCGGTGGGTCGGTCGGTCGCGCGCATTTACGTGCGGAGAAACCAGTGAGAAGGGAAAACCGCGCGGTGCAGCAGGCTCGCACAATTAGGATCGGATAAACAAGCCCGAGGCGTGTGAGTGACTGGATGCGCTGGGCTAGCAGAGAGGAACGCCATTGCTCCCTCTCTGACCCCGCCCCCACACACAGCGTCACAAACCAGCGACCTGGGTTGCCCCGTCCTGGTAAACAACTAAGGCTTCGCTCCGCTTACTTAACAGCACTAATAGACCAAAAATGGCTCTAGGACAACTCAGAGCCCCAGAACCGATAGACCTAAGTGATGAAGAAATAGCCAGTCTTTCAAATGCACAGTTCAAAACACTGGTTATCAGGATCCTTACAGAACTGGTTGACTTTAGTCACAAATTAGAGAAACATATGGAAGCTAAATTAATTGAAATGAATGGGGATACAAAAGATACCAATAGTAATGGAAAGAAAATTGGGACTCAAATCAAGGGAGAGAACCAGAAGGAAGAAAAAAATGATCAAACAGAAAGGAATGAAGAAATAAGAATTCAGAAAAATGAGGAGAAGCTTAGGAACCTCCAGGACATCTTTAAACGTTCCAACATCCGAATTATAGGGGTACCAGAAGGGGGAAAGGCACAACCACCAGTTGAAAAATTATTTGAACAAATAATAAAGGAGAATTTCCCCAAGATGGCAAAGGAAATAGACTTCCGAGAAATCCAGGAAGCTCAGAGAGTCCCAAAGAAGTTGGACTCAAGAAGGAACACACCAAGGCACATCATAATTACATTAGCCAAGATTAAAATGAAGGAAAGAATCCTAGAAGCAGCAAGAGATAAGGGGACAGTCACCTACAAAGGAGTTCCCATCAGACTGTCAGCTGATTTCTCAAAAGAGACCTTACAGGCAAGAAGGGGCTGGAAAGAGGTATTCCAAGTCATGAAAACCAAAGATCTACAACCAAGATTGCTCTACCCAGCAAAACTTTCATTTAGAATGGAAGGACAGATAAAGTGCTTCTCAGATAAGACCAAATTCAAGGAGTTCATCATCACCAAGCCCTTATTATATGAAATGTTAAAGGGGCTTACCTAAGAAAAAGAAGATAAAAAAGATGAACAGTGAAAGGACAACAAACTCACAGTTATTAAGAACCACACCTAAAACAAAAGCAAACTAAGAGGATAGCTAGATCAGGAGCAGAACCATAGAAATGAAGATCTCAGGGAGGGTTAGCAACAGGGGAGTGGGAGGAGGGGAAGGGGGGAGAAGGTACAGAAAATAAGTAGCATAGACAGTAGATAGAAAATAGATAGGGGGGAGGGTAAGAATAGTAGGGGAAATACAGAATCTAAAGAATTTGAGACACATGTTCATGAACTAAAGGGGGAAATGGTGGGGGAGGGGTATGCAGGGTGGAGGGGAAGGGAGGGGGGAATAGAGCAAATGTAATGGCATAATCAATAAAAAAAAAAAAGAACACCCCCCCCCAAAAAAAAGAATGAATTTAACCAAGGAGGAAAAAGACCTGTACTTAGAAAACTATAAGACATTGAGAAAAGAAATGAAAAAAGATAAAAGGGCAACTACACTGTCCTGATGGATAGCAAGAATGAACATTTTTAAAATGTCCATACTCCCCAAAGCAATCTACCGATTAAATGTAACTCCTATCAAAATACCAATGGCATTTTTCACAGAACGAGAAAAAGTAGTCCAGACATTTACGTGGAATGACAAAAGGCCCTGAGCAGCCAAAAACAGTCTTGAGAAAATGTATCATGTTACCTTATGTCAAACTATACCACGTGTTTATAGTAATCAAAACAGCATGATACTGGCATAAGAACAGACACATAAATCAATGGAACAGAATAGACAGCCCAGAAATAAACCCGTGCCTATAGTCATCCCTTGCTATATCGTGGTTCACTTACTGTGGCTTCACTGTATCGTGGGTTTTAAAAAAAATTTAATTCTGTAGTTTTTGGTATATCACAGGATTTTGTATACTTCACTGGTGAGTACCCATATAGAATTTTATATGTTGTTAAATTACATAGGTTTAAGAGTGTAGAAAGTGTTTAAGAGCATATGAAGTGTTTATAAGAGAGTGGAAAAGGTTTGTAGGAGTGTGGGAAGGGTTTATAAAGCCTTAAGATACATATAAATAATAAATATAAAGCCAATACTTTGCGGATTTTTACATATTGTGGGGGTCTCTGGAATGTAACTCCCTTGATAGGTGAGGGATCACTGTATGGTCAATCTGTGACAAAGGAGGCAAGAATGTCAGTGGGGTAAAGATAGTCTCTTCAATGTGGTACATACATACAATGGAATATGACTCAGCCATAAAAAGAAGGAAATCTTGTCAACTGCAACAAAATGGATGGACCCAGAGGGTATTATATTAAGTGAAATAAGCCAGCCAGAGAAAGACAAATACTGTATGATTTCACTTATATGTGGAATTCAAAGAGCAAAGCAAACAAAATAGAAAAAACTGATAGATATAGAGAACATTTTGATGGTTGCCACATGGGAGAGGGGTTGGGGATTGGGTGAAAAAGGTGAAAAGGATTAGGAAGTACACATTGCCAGCTATAAAAATAGGCACGGAGATGTAAAAAGCACAGCATAGAGGATACAGTCGATAATAGTGTAATAACTGTGAGTGGTCATGTGAGTACCGGACTCACTGTGGGGAGCACGTCATAGAGTCCGTGAGACACGGGTCACACCTGGAACTAGTATAACACTGCATGCCAACTGTGACTGAGAAACAAGTAAATAAATAAAAATAATAAAAAGCTTTGTCCAAGGTCAAGTGCTACTAAATGTGAGTTATAATTTCAATTTCATGCTTTTTGGAATAAATTTCAATTTCAAATGATAAGCAATCATTGGGAAGTACCAATAGCTTTGATAAATACTCAACTTTACAATTTCCAAACAATTTTCCAGGGTAGCATAATAAATAATGATTTTTTTGCCCATGAGTGCAGTTTTATTTTCCTCATCTTGATATTACCTTATTGAGGAAAAAAATAAAGATTCTATTTTTGGTTGACAAAACAAAGAAAGAAAAGGTGTATAAAAGTAGACAGGTGGAGGGGGAAAGGTATGCAGCTGATACCAGTACACACGTACACACACCCTCTTGCTAATGCTTGACCTTGTTTTTCAACAAAAATCAGTGACTACAGAATACAGAGGGGGGCAAAAGTAGGTTTATGGTTGTGAGTACATGAAAAAGTTTATTCTCATATTATTATTGTTTATTGTTGTGTTGTTTTCCATACAAACAACTGGAAGTGTGCTTTCGGCCCACCCTGTGCACTGTTAAATGGTATCTGAAACAGTATGGCGCAAGACTGTATGGTATGCACTGTTTGGTATGCACTGTATGGTATGCACATTTAACTGTGTGCACTGTTAAATGGTATCTGAAACAGTATGGCGCACGACTGTAGTCCCAGCTACTTGTGGCAGTTTCTCCAGGTGTTCCTTCATGTGCACTGCAGGACACACCCCTCCCTCCCTTCCAACCTGCCACTGAGTAAGCGCCGATAACTCTAGTTGGGTGAACTGCTGGACACACCTATTTTACATGCAGGGAAAGACAGCACCCATTGTTTCCTGTTTTTGCTGTTTGAGTTTAAAAACGAGGATACTTCTAGTATTGCCATGAAGTTTTAGAGTTAGGTGGCTTTATAAAATCAAATTATCTGCTTCTTTGTGATGGGTACCATGTACCTGCTCCCATAGTCAGTAGACGAAAGTTTAAATTGTGAATCACAGTAGCATGTGCTTCACATCAGTGTTTTACACTTTTTTAAAACCCAAAGTCACATTAAGAAGTACATTTTATAATCTGACCAAGCACACACACACAAACATTATATATATAATTAGATACATACATATATAATTAAAATAAAAGTTGCACAGAACTTACCAAGAATCGATGCAAAATACCCTGATATTTTCTGTTCTCTTTCATTTAAAAAACTGATATCAACCCACTAAATTGGCTTCTTTAGACTATGCTTTTCAGCAGTTTCACGGTTCTCAACAGAGAGGGTGATTCTTTTGATTGTTAAATAAATAAAATTTCTGGAGTCCAAGAATTCAGTTTTGAAAGAAATTAGAAATATGTCCTAATTTTGTTGTGAATATTAACTTTTTGTGTATAGGCTGCTTTCAGTGCTAGTTTTTCTCTCACCTCTAGGAGAGTGAGCGGATGAGATGGAATGTTCTAAATGGCGGTTTCTCTTTTTTCTGCAGCTCTCACGTGTGAAGAGAAGCCTAGTGCCTCGTTAACGTAAGGACCTCACTGACTGGAAGCTACAGGTTTTGCCATCAGCTTGCCTTATCCTTTTTGGTCTGGTTCTTTTCCTCAAACAGTGGAAACATCTTTCTTTTGAGTTGCTTTTGTTGCAGCATTAAGAAAATGGCTGATAGTGGCGTCAGGAAAAAACCCACAGGGTGCCCCCACTGCTCATCTGCCTCTCAGGAAGATCTCCTTTGCATGTGCTCCTGTGAGACAAGGCTCTCTCCAGTGTCGGTGGTGGAAATGTCAGAGACATCAAGCATTGCTTGTTCAGACATTTCAATTTCACTGGAGAGAAAAAAAGACCAGCAAATTAAAGATAACTCCTCTGGAAAAGATGGGGTAAATATCAAGGATTCTAGTTCTCAACACAAGTTGGAATCCTGTCCTCCAATGCCATGCCTAGCTTCATTCGTAGATCTCATGGGTCCTTGTCAGCTAATTCTTTGCCTTCTTAACTACTAAAGGAACATTTCTTTCTTATATAAGAGGTGAACAAAGTTGATTAGTACTTTCTTTTATGATATTTCTAACACTGCCCAAATTAATTACTTCCTGGGATTGTGAGTGATTTAGAATGTTGTTCCAGCTTTTAAAAAAAAAATGGTTCAAGCTGAATGAAATCTGAATTTTGGGGCACTTTTTTCAATGCAGAATGACTTGTGGTTGTGGTTAAATATAGGATGGTTACTATTGAAGACAATTCCTGGTTATCTAAATGGAATATCAAATATACTCTACAGAGTCAGTGTGCAGACAGTCTGTGACGGCCCCATCGGGCTGGGTTGGGTGCGCCTGCCTTTCCAGAGAAGAGGTGTGCGGAGGGTTTCTCTAGACACAGCACAGCTTTGGGGTCAGAGTGGGAAGTTTAAGAAAAGTTAGGTTCTCGGCCCTCAAAGTTGTACCTTTTTTAGATTTTCACCCTAAACTTTTTTTCTGATTTGTATTACAATATAGTAATTGCCATATAGGCATCTCTGAGTTAGTTGTTACTGGGTGAGTTGTTAACTATTATTTTCATTGGAAGCATACTTTGTGTGTGTCTGGCCAGTAATCTTTTATGTGTAATCTATTTGAAACGACCCCTATGTTTCAAAACAAGAATGATTAAGAAAGCTGTGAAGTTGCCTCCTTGTGACTTGAAAGAATCATTAAGGAGGTTCTGATCTGTCTGCTCTGCAGCTGATGAGGGACATACACCTGACTGGAGTCTGGGGCTCAGGTCGAGCAACTTCTTAAGGTCCCTTCCAGCCTAATGAGCCAGTAACTCATGAAGGGCTTACTGAGAATTGGAAAAAAGACAGCGAATTATCTTGTCTGCAGTAAATATCATGGCACACATTAAAGATTTGTCATGTTCTCTAAATTAGGGCTTTTACTTTGTCAACAAGTGTGCTGTATCTTAATATTACTTTTTCCCCCCCTTTTTGGTCTAAGCCCTCAAGAACCCCGAACATAGAGAGAAAGACATCTCAACAACAGTGGGGTCGGGGCAACTTCACAGACGGAAAAGTCCCTCACATAAGGATGGACAATGGAGCTGCTATTCAGGTATTTAGAAAGCAAAGTGAGCCACTAGGAGGAACGTTCACATTTCTTCTGTGTCACTCAGTGGTTAATGGCAAAAATGATTTAAAAATAAGTCTCTAAGGAAAGGAAGGAAAGAAGAGGGGAACTTCACTATTTTCAAGTATGTCGGAGTCTTTACTGCCAAAAATGCAGGCTGTTTTTTCTGTTCATAGAGGACCAAGTGGATTTTAATCAAAGTTTTTTATTAGATAAAATGAGAACAGGTCTTGCCTGTTGCTGAGTGCAACCGTGGAGTCCTTGTGTAGCGAAGACTACGCAGACTTTGTGTGGCGTGGAGTCACTGGGGGCGGAGCCAGGCCAGGCGGCGTCAGGTGGTTTGGCTGCTCACTTCCTCGAGGCCACTTTTTGCTGCCTGTGATGGGATGAGTGCCAGTGTTCGTTTTCCCAGGATTTTGATTATGGCATACAAATATGAATTAAATATTAGTGCCATTTTAGAAATGAAATGTTATTTTAACATCAGTTTAGAGGAACTTCAACAAGAATAGCCACAAAAGGAGACTTGTGTCAATGTTAACTTTAAACATTGTTTTAACAGATATTTAGCAATATACTTGAAGTGATCAGAAAAACTTCCTGAGAAATTCTAACTTGAAAAGTTTAAATCTCCTCTTTTAAGTGAAAGGCCTGTATTTTTTAAAGTGTACAAATTTACTGATTTTTAAATTTAGTCATGAGCTTTTATAAAGTAAAAATGTATTCATTGTGAAAAATTAGGAAAATACAGATAGAAAAGAATACAAAAAAATGATGAGCCATATATAACCAATGTTAACATTTATTACCTTTCTTTTTACATATGTATGTCACTCTATTTTTTTCTTTTCCATTTCTTTTCTGCTTTAAATTATGGAATATTCAAAGTATGTACATATTTTCAAGAAATAATCTTAACTGGGGTAGTAGGAGTTTTTCTTCTTCCATTTAATGGACAGTCTCATTTTAAAGATTTTAAACATTTCAGTAGAATATAAAACAGGAAGTTATAGTCATCCAAATTCTACTACCCAGCGATAACCACTCACTACAAATGAGCATGTTTCCACACAGTGTGAGCCCCGCTGTGTACACACTTGTTCACCACTGTTACCGTAGCACTGGATCACGCTCACCTCCACACTCCACACTGTGCCATGGACTTAGCCTCCGTCAAAGAAGATAGACCGGTCTTACTACTGTAATAGCATCCTCCTAAAATGAATACAAATGAGAACTCATTTTCTTCTTATTTTTACCACTATGTAATGATATCAGAGCAGATAGTTAAAAAAAAAAAAGATCAGTTTATAAAAAACTTGTTGGGCCATTGAGCTGTTCCTCTACCCAGTCCTCATTTTAAAAGTCCTATTTAAACAATATTAAAATTCTGTACCCAAGTTGTGGTTCTGTATGTTTAGAAAGAAAATGAGAATTTCATTTCTAAAGGTCAAGAAAAATTGGAGAAATGGTTATAGGGTTGAGATATTTTTGTTCTGTGGGGGAATAAAGGGGTAAATGATCATTTAAATTCAGATTTGGTTCATTTTATGTAATATGGAGCAGGGAGTGACGTATAAATATAATAAAAGTAAAATATTTGTCTTATTTTAATCATCTTAGGTTTTTGACTTTGATTCTCACTATTAAGTGGTAGTGAGGGAGAAAAGGGAGCCAAAGTAATGATGTCATCTGAAAGCAGGTGTCTGGGACGGGCCGCGCCCACCGTGAACCCAGGAGTCCCCACTCACAATACCCATGACCCTGAGTCCGGAGCTGCTCCTCCAGGGTTCAGCTCCACACACCCAGCCTCTCATTTCTCTCAAGAACGTCTGTGTAGAAGGATTCTGACTGAGTCTGTATGTGTGTATGTGTAGAGGCTCTGACTGGGTTTATTGATTGATTCATTGATTTCTCATTCCACATTTACATTGCTATACCTTTGAAAGCCTTCCTTGCCTTGCTTGGATTATTAAAAAAAACTCAAATTTTATTTTTTTTTGCCTTTGTTCACTCATATACGAGTCTCAGAAGCCACCTGTTTCAGAATGTTTACCTTTACTCTCCCAGGGTTTTAGCCCTGGTCTCTGGCCCCAATGTTGTTTTGTATTTTGATTTTAATTGAAAACTTTATGATTTAAGAATAATCCTGTCCCTTGAGTAGATTACAAATTCTGAGAATACAGAAATTGTTTTATTCAACTTTGTAGCCCCCAAAGTATAAATCACAAGGAAATATCTAAGGAAAGGCTAACATGTTGAAACTGAATTATTTCCTTCTTTCCTCTCTTTCCTTCCCCTGCCCTCCCCTCCCCTCCTCTCTCTCCCTTTCTTACCCTTCCTCCCACTTCTCTCCCTCCTCCTCCCTTTTCTCTCTTTCCCTTTCCTTCTGTCTTTCCTTCTTTCTTTTTCTTCCTCTCCTCTCCTCCCTCTCTCCTCCTCCACCCTTTCCTCCCTTCCCTCCCCCTCCCCCTTTCCCCCATTCACTAAAAATGGATCTTTGGCCTACAAGGTTTTAGGGTAGGCTTTTTAAAGGACGCAAAAGAAACAGCTTCTTAAGGAGCTTCTACACATCTGATCTTGGGGAAAAAATGAGTGAGAACATAAGTAAGACAGTAATAATAGTGTTTGAGGATCAGTGCGTACGTGCTGAGAGAAGTCAAAAGGAAGGAGCCCTCACCACAGGGCGGAGTGGGGAAGACCTTCATGAAAGAGGTGAATAATTGGGCATCGAGTCTTCTGTTACTAAAGTAAGTGGAAAACAGGAGGACTAGCAGCGACTTCACCTGTTGCACGGGGAAGGTGGACGTGGCCGCACAGAGCTGGAGCAGCACCTCCAGGGAGCCTTTGGCCCACCCAGTGAGGCGGTTGTTCTCTCATGCTCAGAAACTCTCTCAAGACCCAGACATCCTTATTAATTCCTTGAAGTTGGTTTGGATTGGGGAGGCTGACTCCTCCCAGCCAAATTCACAAGACATGGAAGTGTACCTGAGTGACCCACCAGTCAGGTTCCCGTACAGCGCGAACCAGGATGCCGGGTGCGCCGAGTGCTCGTGAGCAGGAGACTGATGATAAGCCAGAGGATGCCTGGTCTGCAGGGATGGTTTTTACTTTCTTCCCAGTGATGGTTTGTATTAAAATTTCTGTGACACACTACTTTTTCTAAAACAAAAGTAATAAAACAATAAGTTATTTTCAATAGAAATAATGAAGGTAAAGAAAAAATGTTACTTGATAGACAAGAAAGCAGTAGTTCAGTGGCTGATATGTGTTAGTTTTGTGGTATAGCTCTTAGAGTTTTGGGATAATTTGGGGGTGAGTGCATTTTATACACACATATATGTATGTATGTATTAATATTCCATTCCTTTGTTTTATTAAGATATTTCATTAATATTATAGTTGTGAGAGACTCATTTTTATACTTTTCAGGTTTTCTACATTTCTCTGTTAGGATTCTTAATGATTTTCCTCCAAAGGACATTTAATGAAATTCATCAAAGCTTATTTTTATTTAACTAAGATGTGTTTATTAATATTGAAGCAAATACGTGGTGTCTTGTCTTTGACTTTGCCCTGGAGCAGAACTGTTCCTCCTTTGGGCGGGCGTCTGCCAGTGTCATGTGCTCACGTTTAATGTCCAGTGACTGTCAGGGAGACAAAGGGACTCTTATTTTTTTATCCAGGAAATCTATACATTTGGAAGAATTTTGGGAAAAGGGAGCTTTGGACTGGTCATTGAAGCAACAGACAAGGAAACAGAAACTAAGTGGGCAATTAAAAAAGTGAACAAAGAAAAGGTAAGGCTTATTAGCAGCGTCATACTGAGGGCAGTGCAGGGTGGGATGGGCAGTGCAGGGGGGGCAGTGCAGGGTGGGGGGCAGTGCAGGGTGGGGGGCAGTGCAGGGTGGGAGGGCAGTGCAGGGTGGGAGGGCAGTGCAGGGTGGGGAGGGCAGTGCAGGGTGGGGGGCAGTGCAGGGTGGGGGGCAGTGCTGGGTGGGGAGGGCAGTGCAGGGTGGGGGGCAGTGCAGGGTGGGGGGCAGTGCAGGGTGGGGAGGGCAGTGCAGGGTGGGGAGGGCAGTGCAGGGTGGGGGGCAGTGCTGGGTGGGGGGGCAGTGCAGGGTGGGAGGGCAGTGCAGGGTGGGAGGGCAGTGCAGGGTGGGGGGGCAGTGCAGGGTGGGGGCAGTGCAGGGTGGGGGGGCAGTGCAGGGTGGGAGGGCAGTGCAGGGTGGGAGGGCAGTGCTGGGTGGGGGGCAGTGCTGGGTGGGGGCAGTGCAGGGTGGGGAGGGCAGTGCAGGGTGGGAGGGCAGTGCAGGGTCAGGGGCAGTGCAGGGTGGGGGGGCAGTGCAGGGTCAGGGGCAGTGCAGGGTGGGGAGGGCAGTGCAGGGTGGGGGCAGTGCAGGGTGGGGAGGGCAGTGCAGGGTGGGGGCAGTGCAGGGTGGGAGGGCAGTGCAGGGTGGGGGCAGTGCAGGGTGGGGAGGGCAGTGCAGGGTGGGGGGGCAGTGCAGGGTGGGGGCAGTGCAGGGTGGGGAGGGCAGTGCAGGGGTGGGGGGCAGTGCAGGGTGGGGGGCAGTGCAGGGTGGGGAGGGCAGTGCAGGGTGGGAGGGCAGTGCAGGGTCGGGGGCAGTGCAGGGTGGGGGGCAGTGCAGGGTGGGGGGGGCAGTGCAGGGTGGGAGGGCAGTGCAGGGTCGGGGGCAGTGCAGGGTGGGGGGGCAGTGCTGGGTGGGAGGCAGTGCAAGGGGGGCAGTGCAGGGGGAGCAATGCAGGGTGGGGGGCAGTGCAGGGTGGGGAGGGCAGTGCAGGGTGGGGGGGCAGTGCTGGGTGGGAGGCAGTGCAAGGGGGGCAGTGCAGGGGGAGCAATGCAGGGTGGGAGGGCAGTGCAGGGTGGGGAGCAGTGCAGGGGGGGCAGTGCAAGGAGGGGGCGGTGCAGTTCTTTATACTAACACACCTGCCTGTGACCTTGGGGCTGGGTCCAGGCTCCTCCCCAGGGTCTGTAGGCATTTCTGAAACCTTCTGGGAAGGGACCAGTTCTTAAACTCAGGGGGTAAGTATATCTAGAAAAAGCAAATATAAGGATAGCTAACATAGTCAATACAGCCAAATATAGGTAAAGTTCATGCCAGAGTGAGTTGAAGATAAGCTCTGATTATCAGTGTGTATAAATGTAGGGCTGTTGGCTGTGAATGTCTCAGCCAGAAATGAGTCCTGGGACTCTCTCCTGATGTGGTTCTGCTCTACTTTTCTCTGGTTCTCTCCTTCCCATTGCGTCCCTGTTTCCTCAGTGTTAGTTTATTCTGTTTATTCCTCCCACCTGCTCTTTTAGTTTGAACCACCTGTCCCCCAGCTATCTGCTGTGCACTTTACTTGTACCCACTGTGTTCCTCACTGGATTTCCCTGGGGCTGGAGAATGGCTGGGCTTGTCTTTAAGGGGGACTCTAAGTCCTCAGGTTTCACAGCTGATCATTTCATCAGCTTTTTAGGAATTTCTGTGCCTGGTAAAAAAAAATCATGACGTTTTTTGCTTAGCTTTGTGATGATGATAAATACTACAGTAACAAAATGCGGCAGTAGGGTTTTTAGTGTATTCTTTGAAACAAATGATAATAGATTGCATACCACTTCTCCTTGAAGATTAATAAAGTACCTTCTGAATCTTAATAACGGGAGAGCCAGAGGTCTTCTAGAAATCTTCAGGATTTTAAAGCCGTGGTGCCACACGGAACATTACTCCCTTTGCCCCTTTGGCATCAGGTAGGACGGGTTTAGGGTCAGGACGATACTCCTGTAATCAGGACCTGCTTTCGGTTTTTGGGATTCATAGTCTTGTGCACATGTGTCGATGCGGAGCGCTTTCAGGGCACTGAGGTAGTAAGATGAAATTATGTGATCGATATATGAATTGGACAGCACATCACTGTGTAATATGTGGGTCAGGCTGTTTGGGATTGGAGGTAGGAACGGAATTGAGGTGGATTTTAGGAGGAATGGTGGGAACTTTTCCATCTCTAGTCTAGACAGAAATTCACCCCTTACAGTGACTATTTTTCTCAACTCTATTCGGATAACCGTAAAATGTGACTTCCATCCTGCATGGGTAGGGCATAGTAGGTGGGAAGTTTTGGTTGAAGGGTGAAGTTGATTGGAAGTGGGATGACCCTAGGTAGAATTTTATTATAGATAAAGATGGCCTTATGATCGACCCCATTGCAGTCCTCTCAGAACTGTTACATACTCTCCTAAGCTCAGGGTGGGGGGCCGTGCTGGTGTGTGGGGGAGGTGTGAGGAAGGAGGGAGAGCTAAAAATCTTTGTTATCCCTTCAGAGATGTTTTATATGCTTGAGCACGATGCTTATCTGCAAATAACGATGGCCATTTGGATTCAATAGGGGAGGTGACTGGGGTGGTGGCAGTGGTGGTGAGGGGGGAAAAGCCCTAAAATTTCTTAGACGACATTGTATTAATAGAAACTCAATGACTTACACCCTGATTGGAGGCCTGTGCTCGCTCCGGGGTGGCTGCCTGTACCTTTTGCTGTCAGGTATGGTTAAGGGCTGCTTGTAAGGAGATGAAGTGGGAGTTAGGTTGGTTGGAAGGCAAGCTCTCGATTTCTCTCTCTCTCTCAGTTACTAATTTCTGAGGCCTGGGGACCAGGAAGTGATGTAATGCGGGGCTAAGTGCAGGCTCTCACTTCCTGTTGTTTCTGTTGATGTATATAAATATAGTCAAAGCGAAACAGCAACAGGAGAGAAAACTGCTTTGGTTTTATCTTCTCTGGTGGATGTCCCTGGAAAGCAGATTTAGTTTTTGTTATGCTAACATCAGAGGATCAACATGATTCTGAAGAAAACACCAAAAGACATATTAAAAACTGGAGTGATTTTAGTGAGGTGACAGACACCATATTATAGCTGATGTACAGGAACCAGCCCAACAGGCAGATGTGGTCTGAGCGAAATTATATTTAAAACTGGAGAGAGGAGAGAAGGGGCACAACTTAATTTTATTATGGAAACAAGTTGCATGTTGTCTTTTGAAAAAGACACTTTTCAAGAAAGTAGAAAAATGGAAGAATAACTAAATTTTACTTTGCGGTGTGTAGTAGTGACATTCGTGTATGAAGTCTGTGCTTCCTCGTTATTTAAGGCCGGCAGCTCTGCTGTGAAGTTACTGGAACGGGAGGTGAACATCCTGAAAATCGTGAAGCACGAGCACATCATACACCTGGAGCAGGTGTTCGAGACGCCCAAGGTAACGCCCCCGCGGGCGCTGCAGTCCGCATGTTGTTGTCATTACAGAAGGAGCGGCACTTCCTTCCACAGTGATCCCTGCGGGGCACGGTTGCTCGTGTCCTTGGCGTGAGTTTGTCAGTGAAGATTGATGAGAGTGTCCTGGAGGACTTTTATTATTGATTGTATAATTAGGTGTCTGATGATTAGATTGATGGCTTTAGTGATAGTTTTGGGTGGCATGTTGAAAACAAATGTTTAAAACAGAAACAACTTCATATACAACCCAGCAGGGATTAGAGCCTCCTTAGAGATGGCTTTACTTTCAGTTTGGTCCTTGGTTTCTCCATCGTAGTGTCTTGGAATATTGTCATAATTTTGCAAGATTAGCTTTATAATGAAGTCAGCATGTATTTATTCGGCACTATGTAGAAGATACTTTGTCATCTGTGTCTTGTCAACGTGTTAAATCTTCATTCTCCCCCTGGATGTTAATGTTATTTTCTTTGAATGCATGTCATTTTTATTTAGAGTTGTCCTGAAGGCTGGGGATATGCCATTCTGTGTCCAGACTGTCAGCGCCTATGGGCTCTGGTGTTACTTTGCTTGGAAGGAAAATAGTGGTTAGACATGTGGACTCTGGGGCCAGGTTCCCCGTGCACTTGAATTCCAGCTCCATTATTAGGACCATGACAAGTTACTCCTCCTCTCTATACCTCAGTTTCCTCATCTGTAAAATGGATTTAATAATAGGATCGACCTCATTTAATTGTTGAGTGATTAAATGGGAAAATGGATATAAAGTATCTGTCCCCGTAAATGTTAGCTGTTGCTTCCTCTGTCAGTCTCTAAGGCAGTACTAGTTAGTTTGGGTTATGCATTATGCTTGATTCATCGGGAGTGCTTAGTAATGAAGAAAGACCAGTCATCCTTCATGGGAGCAGTACGGCAAGGGTGCTGAAAGTCTTCTCTGCTCTCAGTCTTACACTTGTGATTTCTTTATCCTCAAATATTCTCAGAATAATTTTGCTCTTTGATTATCAGTTGTAGGCAACCTGTCTGATAAGGTTGTGCCTTGGTGTGGTTTTCTTCATGTTTCTAATGCTTGGGGATCATGGAGCCTCTTGGCTCCATGTGAGTTTATGGTTTTCATCAAATTCAGGAAATTTCTCTCCATTATATCTTTAAAAATCGTTTTGCCATCTCGCATTTTGGGGACTCCAAGTGCACGTTAGGTTGCTTAGAATTGCCCTCAGCTTACTGATACTCTATTAATTTTTTACGTCTTTTTTCTGTCCTTTCATTTAGCGTAGTTTCTGTTGTGATGTTTTCCGATTCAGTCATCTCTTTTTCTGTAGCATCGTATGCGTGTTTATCTTTTCCAATGGAAATTCGATTTGGGTCAATATTTCCTCCTCTTAAATATAGTCATGATAATTTAATATCCTTTTCTACTAATTCTATCATTTGTGTCATTTCTAGTTCAGTTTTATTCAGTAATTTTCTTTTCCTTCATCACAGGTTATATTTTCCTGTGTCTGTTAATTTTTTTATAGGATGTTGGGTATTTTTATATTTTTATAACTGTATTTTAGCTTTATTGCAAGACACAGTTAAGTTACTGTGTCCGATACTTTTGAAGCTTCTTTGAAGCTTTGTTAGGTGACGGCAGAGCAGTCTTGGGTCTTGGGCTAATATTTTTCTACTGATGAAGAAAGACCATTCAGAGGACTCTCCCAATGCCCCTGAATTGTGGGATTTTCCGCTCCGCCTCATGGGAACGCAGACTCTTTCTGACCGTGTGTAAGCTCTAGTCACTGTTCCCTTGGTTCCTTCTGCACGGTCTTTTCCAGCCTCTGGTAGTTTTCTTCATACACACGTGCTGACTGGTCCTCTGCTGAAGACCTAGGGTGATGCTCTGCGGGTCTCTGGAGCTTTCTCTGTGTGCAGCTTTCTCCTCTTTGGTGCTCCGTCCGTGCACTGCAGTTGTCTCGGCCTTCCTGGACTCCCAGGAACTGGACTCCCAGCCAGTGCCTGGACTCCCAGCTCCATCTTCTCAGTTCATGGAGACCCCTGGGCTCTCCTTGGAGCCCACTTCCTGCTCTGTGGCCTGGAAGCTTCTTCCAGACAGCAAGGTAGGATAATCGTGGGCTTGCCTTGTGGGTTTCCCCTCTCAGGAACACTGCCCTCTGCTGCCTGACGTCGGTCTAATGTCTGAAAATTGTTGTTTTGTATGTTTTGTCAGTTTTTCAAGTTGTTTCAGGAGAGAAAGTAAGTCTAGTCTATGCTACTCTGTATTGGGAACAAGCGAAGGTCCAAATGTAGAATAGTTTGAAGACAAAGGAAACCATTATCTGTGACTGTCGTTTTATGTATTGCTTGCCCTTAATTCACATAGATCAGGTCGGCCTCCCCCCACTCCCCAACTCACACAGAGGCCTAGACCTTCCACTGAAGCCGGCTTTAGAATTACTGGAAGTTGCTGCCCGATTGGTCAGGCCACGGTATTAGCACTGATCATCCAACTTAACTGTGTTTGGTATCTTGTGAGTCTAAATGTTCTCCACATTTACATGATGATTTCAATAATTATGAAAAGCCTTTTGAAAACCTGTTATTGCGGTAACTTTTATCACTGTACGTACTTAAAGTGGACATCAGTGCATGTTGTAAGCACAGCTAACATGACTGTTCCTTCCACCCTTCCACGGGCCGGTGTTCTCTGCTGTGCTGTCGGTACAAGAAATGTGGCCTTGTTTGAAAGCGTATTTGTGTTAGACTTTGCAGAATAGTTACTCACGAAATTGTAAGGCATTCTGAGGTTTAGTGAATCAGAATTTTAACTATAAAAGTAAAAAGTTAACCTTCTCTTCCTGTTCTCATGCTTGCTGACTGAACACAGAAATTACATTCACAGAAATTGTAGAATCGAATCAGACCCCCAAATTTCAAAAACAACAAAAATCTAGCAGCACAGAGTAAAGTGGAGATGGAGAGGGTGTTTGGTGACTGAATTGCAACAGGTGTGAAAAACACCTGTTTTTCGGGTGACCGTGAACCATTCTGACTCAGTAGGCGACTTGACTATTGTCAGGCCTCGAGTGGTCCCAGTCACATCCGCAGAGACAGCAGCGCTTTGTCTGTGGCTCCCACCCCTCCCGGCCAGGTGGTCCTGAAGGCCCACTGCTCCTTTCTCCTAGGTACCTTTCACACGTTTTTCTTCTCCTCCTGCTTGTCTCCCTTCCGTGCCTCTTACCCACCCTCCACACGCAGGTGGGCACGCACAGTGTGCTGCCGGATCTGGCGTGCTGCCTATCTTTGTAGGGCCTGTAAGCTAAGGGTTTTTTTAAATGTTTTTAAGTGATTGAAAGAAATTTAAAAGAGTAAGCTTTCATGATGTGAAAACTATATGAAACTAAAATTACAAAGTCTATAAATAAAGTTTCATTGTATTGTTTATGATTGGTTTTATGCTATAACAGCGGAGTTGAGTAGTTATAAAAGCAATTGTATGGCCTGCAAAACTTAAAGTATTTATTGTCTGGCCTTTGCAGAAAAAGCTTGCTGAGCCCTGCTCCACTTTACTGTTAGAGTGATCATTTAGAAATGCAAAATCAATAATAGCATATACCTTTCCTATTTCAGACGCCAGCTTAAAAATCTTCAGTAGCTCCTGCTGCGTATGGGAAAAAGGTCTAAACTCCTTTGTGTGGTACCCAAGACTCTCTACAACCTTGCACCAGCCTGTCCTTCCTGGCTTCCCCCCTCACCACCGTCTCCTCTCTTGTGCCCCACCAAACTCCCAGCGCTATTGTCAGTGGCAAAGTGGCACCGGAAAGTAACCAGAGCTCAGTTCAGCAACCTTGGTGCTTGAGTTTTGGCCGACCAAGAACTCAAAACCAAGATTCAAATGATTACAGAAACTATATTTAGAAAGTCACAGAAGTAGAAAAGGTGTGCCCACTGGGCTGTGTGGGAAACAAGTCACAGAGGTAAAAGGATGGCCCTTGGAGCTTAGGAGAGAGGAAGCCTGGGGGAAGAAGGAGGCGGAAGGTGAGGGCGTGCTCGCGCCCGCTGGGCCCCGCTGTCCCCAGGGTTTTCTCCCCTTTCTGAAGGCAGAGGGGGGCGGTCTTAGGGGAAGTTTCAGAGGAGGATCTCAAAGGAATGTTCAGCAGCTTTCCAGCTGTGCTCTTTCACGTCCTGGTCTCTGTTGATTGGGTGGCGACAGGGGCAGGGGTCATTAGTTATTGCAGTGGGTCCTGGTGTCAGCCATGGAGTCACTCCTCTGGTTTTGCTGCTTTTCTGGGCCTGGAGTTGAAACACAGCCAAGGCCTAAATGTTATTCGTCTGACCAGAGCTCTGACTCTGTGGTCAGCAGACCTAAGGCTTCGTTCCTAAAACCTTTAGGCAGTCAGAGCCTCATTGTTCTGAGGGCTTAAGGCTAAGGGAGTAATCGTGCAGAGGTTTGGGTGGGAGTTGTAAGGGGGTGTTCCCTGCCCCTTGTTCCTTCTCCAAGGGGGTTTACCACATGACCAGTGAATTGCCAGGGGAGGAGAGGTGAGGGGAGGGTCTAAACTGTGTGGCTAGTGATATGCAGTCAAGGGGTCTAAACTGCATGCCCAGTGATGTGCTAGGGGAGGAAAGGTCACCCTGGGGGTGGGGTTCCACCCTACAACTGCCCGTTGCTAGGCACCTGAGGCTTTCTGCCCCTGTGACCTTCCATGCATACCTGGCCTGTTCAGCTTTGCATACTTTGCTCCTGCCTAACCACCTACTACACATTTAACACTGAAATGTTCGTCATTCTTTTAACAGCCAGTGCCATTCCAAGTTCTGTGGTCTTTGCAAGTACCACGCGTTCTGCCTATTCTTGTCCACGTTCTCTATGCCTGTATAGCCATTCAGTCATCCAGACCTGCCTGTGACGTCACCTCCTCAGTGGGCATTCTTCAGGCCGACACTTCCCTGCTCTGTAATCTCATGGTATTAGGATCTCCCCTCTTCTGTTAATGCTTGTCACCTGACATTGCAGTTGTACAGACTGGGTCTTATCCTTCCTTGTCCTTCTGGTATCCTGCACGGAATCTCATACATGACAGATGATAAATAATTTTCAGTTAATAGATTGGTGTGAAGGTTGTGAACATATTTTTACTGTATATGTAATATATAACATGTTCAAGATCCCCACCTATATAATTTGTTCTCTCTTTCTCTCTCTTTTAAAATATATAATGTCAGAAAATGTACCTTGTGATGGAGCTTTGTGAGGATGGAGAGCTCAAAGAAATCCTGAGTAAGAAAGGACATTTCTCAGAGAACGAGACGAGGTGGATCATTCAGAGCCTGGCGTCGGCCATAGCGTATCTTCACAGCAACGGTAAGGGGAGCATCTTCCAGGTCACCGGCTCCGTGAATGCAGACCCCGCTTTGGTTCAGGGTAATTGTGTTCAGGACTCACAGTCACAGGAAGAGTGCCAGTCAGTATGGAAGAGTTTATTTAAACAATCAAAAGTTTTTCCTTTATAACTTATTTTAATTAGAAGTAAGGCAGGTGTACAAGTACATTGCCCATGGACAAGGATAAAGTTCTAATATTTCCATTCAATCATTTGAAAAGCAGCTATTATTATCAAATCAAAAGTAGACAAATCAGTAAGTGAAATTTCTAAAAACATTTATATACAAGGTCTGTCCAGAAAGTATACAGCCATGTAATATGAAAAATAGAGACATTTTTGAAGAAGCTACAAGAGACATTGTACATAGGACAATGCTGCCTCAGTCCCCTGCAAAGTAGGCACCTCGGGACCTCACACAGTCCTTCCAATCTCCATCAGCTGCCCTGTTGTGTTGTCCTGAATCTCACCAGCAGTCTGAAATCTCATCCCTTTCAAAGGTCATTTTAGTTTTTGGAAAAGCCAGAAGTCTCAAGGTGCCCAATCTTGGCTGTAGGGGGGCTGAGTCATTTGACGTTTCACAAAAAACTGCATGAGACATGATGAGTGGGCGCATTGTTGTGATGAAGCTGCCAATCACTAGTTGCCCATATCTGTGACCTTCTGAATCATCCACATAGTTTTTGTGGAGGAATGTTTAAGTTTCACATACAGTTTGATGCAGATTCTTTCCTCTACTCACTCAGTCATTTCGAATGCGATGGCCACACAGCACACATGCTCACTCAACAGTGTCTACTGCCCCCACCGACTAGTCCAGTGACGTCGTCATTGATCATGCGTGCTCACTGCAGTCCACTCTCCTGGCTGCCAGGTTACATCAGTGTCATGCAAACCATTCTCATTGTATTAACCATGGCTGGACTTTTTCCGGACAGACCTCATTAATAATTTTAAAATTGTATATTCTTGAAATATTTTCAAAATATTGTTTTCATGTATTCTTAAAATTATTGTTCAAGTAAAGTTTTCTGTCTTTTTCAAAATATTTTATTTATTTATTTTTAGAGAGAAAGGAAGGGGGGAGGAAGAAAGGGAGAGAAGCATTTGTGTGAGAGAGAAACATCGATCAGTTACCTCTCGCCCAATCCAGGAACTGAACCTACAACCCAGGCATGTGCCCTGACAGGGGATTGAATCTGTGACCTTTGGCTTTGTGGGACAATGCCCAACCGAGTCACACCGGTCAGGGCTTTCAGAATTTTTTTTTAGTTTTTTAGAGCTGTTTTAGGCTCATGGCAAAATTGACCAGAAGTTACACAGATTTCTCATACAAATTTCCCCACTCTCTGAAAGTAGAACAGACGTTCTTATGATACCTTTTATAATTTGACATGGCATAAAGCAAAAAATCACCTTTCATTTATGTGGAAAAGTTCTTGAGTGTTCCCAGACCCCAAAATAACCTACCAGATATCTAATACCAAATAACATTAACGTAGTGAAAACAGGGAAGACATGATAAACAAACGCCATGTTTTGTACGCCATCAGTCTGCTCAAGCAGTAGACTTCCCATTTTATCCATTAGTGGATATCAGCTAGGAAGACAGCACTTAGCAACTAGCAGAACCAATAGTAACTTTGTCAGCTTTCAAGATTGTTTATCTCTGTGTGTAAATAGTGCAAATAGTGGACACAGGCACATTCAGTGCATGCATAATCTTTATTTCAATCACTACGATCACAGTGCTTAATTATGTCTAGTTTTACAGGACTCATGAGCTCTCTTAGGCTTTTCTGATACCTTAAGACACATCTTGCTAATGAATGCCCAAAATAAATCAAGATAAAGCACAGATGCTCAGAGACACAGTTCAAAGCCATGGCAGCTAGAGGCCGAGATGTTGCGTGTAGTTCCCTGGAAAGGAGCTAGGTGGTGCCACTCACACTGCACGCTGCTTGGGTGTGGGCTGCCTCTATAAAGGCTCACTCAAAACAAGTGTTGAACTCGATTTTTGTTTTTCACATTTTTTTGTAAAAGCAAAAATCCTTTTGGGATTTCTTTGGTAGCAAAATCAGGTACTAGTTTAGGGTTTTTTTTTATATAAAAGCGAAGTGGTATAAAGTGAACTTTTGAAAAGTGGGGGATCCCTGTACCCCTGCCAGTACATGCGCAGCCTCCCCCATTAACAACACCCCCCAGCACAGTGGGACATTTTTGTCATTGAGGAACCTACGCTGATACATCATTCCCGTCCAAACTCCATACTTGACATTGGGATCACTCTGTACACTCTGTGGGTTTTGACCAGTCTATAATGGCATGTATCTACCATTATAGTACCATGCAGAACAGCTTCACTACTTCAGAGTCCACATTCAAAAATCATTCTGTTATTCTAATTGTTTTAGTGTTCTTTGGAGTTACTGCTGCTTTTCCTCATGCTTCCCTCCTTTTTTTCACGGTTAGTTGGCCTACCTGTGATTTGAGAAACGTTTCATTTTATAGATGAGAAAACAACCTTGTTCTAGAGAGGTGGAGCGGCATGGGTAGGTGAGGCAGAGCGGGTTCCGGAACCCAGGGCTTCCTTCAGCAGGCACTGCCTGAACATCCACTGCACTGCAGTCAGACCTGGGATAACGGAGATTCACAGACAAGGCCCCTCCCCTCAGGAAATTCAAGCTGGGGGGGACTGAGTATAGAAACAAATTGTAGTTCAACATGGTAATTCCTCTAGTAGAGAGACAGGTGAAGTGGAGCATAGGCGTGTAAGGGCTCCATCCGATGTGGCAAGGCAGAGACTTCACAGAGGAGGCAGGCGGGAGTGGAGGACAGATTCGGGTGGAGAAGGGGGCTTTCCCGGCAGATGGCAACAGCCTCTGCAAGGGCAGGAAGCCCAAGGCTTAATGCTGTGCTGAAGTCAATTTCCCCCCATTAAGGTCCAAATGTAGTCTAATTCAAAACAAAAATCTTACCAGGATTTTTCATGGAATTTGATACAATTATTCTGGAATGGGTTAGAATAGCAAAGAAACCAGTGAAAAAGGAGGCAGCAAGGACACTTGCCCTGCTGAGAATCAAAATGTATGGTAAAGATACATTAATTAACATTATGTGGTGTTTATGTAAGAAGAGATAAGTGGAGCAATAAAGACAATAAAAGTCCCCCAAATATAGGCTGGGCACTGTGTAAGGGGACTATAAATGGTTAGGTGTAACTGCCAGTCCAGGGCTTATTCAACTACATTTTTCTAGCCATTGTAGAATATAACCTTTTAAGCCTAGAGAAATGATTGCTATGGCTATGAACCAAATCAGTTATTGGCAAAGGAAGTGCTTAGTACATTGTCTGCCTGCACATAAAAACCCTACCTGAGGTCTAACATGTGCACCTGGAGATTTTGTGTCTCAAGGGTTCTTTTGTTTGTTTTTTATTTTAACACATGAAGAGTAGTGTGGTGATGTTACAGAAAAATATACTGAAGTAAGTGTAGTTTAGTCAAGTTGCAGTATGTTAAATGTTTATATCAGGAAAACATATGCAAAGAAGGAAAGAAGTGGTTCTCTATTTGAAGGTGTACAGATATAAGAAACATCACTGGGCTTGTAGCTGATACAAGCCACAAACACAGTTGTCTCCCTCCTCCTGGGAACCCTGACCTTGGACAGGATCCTCATCCACACTCAGGCCATTCGTCAGGAGGAGCAGCAACCAGGTCGGGAAGCATGGGAACCGGGAGAGACGAGGGAGTCAAGGAGAACTGGCTCCTTAAGCTTAGAAATGTGGAGAAAGGGACCTGAATAGTAGAAGGAAATGGAACAGGGCAGAGTTATGCTGGGCACGCCTCAAGTATTTCAGTGGTAGACAGTAAGTCAAATATATTAATTTGTTGTATTTGTGTCCCCTCTAATTATTTTTCCATTATTCATCTCATTTGCTTTGTTGTTTATTTTCTTGGTAGATATAGTACATAGAGATCTAAAACTGGAAAACATAATGGTTAAAAGCAGCTTTATTGATGCTAACAATGAAATGAACTTAAACATAAAGGTAAGATATTAGAAATGGTGGTAAATATTCACCCATAAACAGTTTGATAGTAAAGTAGCAAAGTACATCCTCTTTTTAAATATGTTGTAGAAGCTTTGAGCAGCCAGAAAATAAGTGACTTGTGCTAAAACAATAAAAAACTCACAAGAGGTTGTAACTGACAATAATTTTGCAAGTTAAGTGGTGAAGTTGAATTTTTTTAAGTACATATTCATTTGGATAGTTCTAAATCATTAGTTAATAGCAAGCAAACAGATGCTCTGAATTCTAATTAATTTCAAAATTATGCCTTTGATACTAAATGCCAAAGTCTGTATTTCTCACTGAAAATTTTCCTGGGTATTAATATTTATATCCTAAGCAAAATTAATGTGCCAAGTATTTATTCTTGAAGATTTTATTCAAATTAAGTGTTCCTTAATGTCAAATAAATGATAGGATACATTATTTATTACTTAGCACTTTACTAGTGCCTGCTCTCGAAACATACGAAGGCGTTAACTTAGGAATAATGTGTCTGTGGGTAGCTCGCTCTGCCGCGGATGGTAAATCCCTGTGGTACAAGTCGGCTTAACAGCATGGTTGTTTCACTTGAGTGAATGTTCTTGAACATTTCCATTGTAAACTCCGTGCAGGCAAGAATCATGTCTGTCTCATTCACTGTTTGTACTTGGAGTAATGCCTGACACATAGTATGCACTCAGTTAATATTCGGTGAATAAAGGAATACATTCTGTCCAAAAAACAGAATTGGATCGTGAAACCTTTTGTTTATTTGATACCCGTATAGATTTTCTGTGGAGAAGGACAGTGTTCTGGAACTTCAAGTGGGAAAATTGCGAAAACTCCTGGGGAAATGGATTAATCTGGTTACAAGAAGAATGATACCACACGTTGACAGGAACTTTTTCTTACTCCCTAAGAAACTTTGCATTCAGTGTCTATGGATTGACAGCCTGTCTTTGGTTGTGTGACCAATAAATGTGCCTGTTTTTCTGCTTTCAGCCCAAGGCTGTTCCAACTTGGGAGACAAGACCAAGGGCACATACTGAATATTTAACAACCGAATGTTTAATGACCAAGGTTTAGAACTGAGCAGAGAGACTGCAGCCGCAGGACTCTGTGTTTGCAGTCGCACTGTGTTTTTCCTGTTGCTTCTTAGAGTTTTTAATAGTGTGGTCATTGTTTTAACTAGTGCACTCCAGAAAACAAAGGGAATAATAAAGAAAAGGTAGTGTTCACCAGCGTTTTAAAAATAATTACAGAAAGGGGGAGTTTCTTTGAGTGCTGAAAAGGACAGCGATTTACACTTGTAACTGTGCTTTAAACCGAACATAGCTTGAGTGTCAGAAAAGTAGATAATAAACATAGTAAGGCCAGAATGTATTTTACAGTGAAAGAACTTAAAAATAAACTTTTACTTGAAAAAAATTAAATGCCTTCTCACAAGATGCCACTTCCCATGTTGAACTGGTGAATTTAATTAGAAGGAATGAGCAATCAACATCCTGGGTGTTTTCTCAAGATTTGAGAAGCCAAGCTTTTCTTTACCAAGTTTCTTCTTCACCGTGAGGGGAGGGTGGGGAGGAAAAGCAAGGTCCTTATTAGTAATACAAGTGAAGCCCCTCCATCCCCCCAGTTCCTTGAGTTAAATGCAATGATGAAATCCTGCCTTCAGAATGAGGGAACTCTGGGGCAGGAAAAGGGTGACTGAGTTTCTTCCTGCAGGTGACTGATTTTGGCTTAGCGGTGAAGAAGCACGGTAGGAGTGAGGCCATGCTGCAGACCACCTGTGGGACGCCCATTTACATGGGTAAGTTAGTGGGCCCGGAGTGGTTTATTCGGTATTAAAACGTAGAGCAAGCGATGTGACCAATTTTCCTTTGCCATCAGGACTTCGTGGCCCTGAGCAAGCTACTTTTTCTTTTAAGGTCAAATAATTTCAGTTGTTTTAGTGTTTTTCTCACTCAAAAAATTGTAGTGTTTATTGTTTTTCTGGGCTCTTCTTAAAATTGTTTACTTCTCTTAAGGAATCACACCCCCAGCTTAATTATTGTTTTTGTTAATTCATGCTAAAATCATGTCTTTTCCTTCTTTTGTTCTTTATTCAGTTTCATTGTCATCAAATAGTTTTTCATGAAGAATACTGATTAATTTGTAAAAGAACAATTTCCCGTTTTTCTAAATGTGCTTTTAGCAGCTTTACTAAGCTGTAATTTAAATGCCGTAAAAGCTGTGCCATTCAGTGAGTTCCCCTGCCGTCACAGAGTTGTACCACCTCACCACAGCCCAGTTCTAGAAAAGTCCGACCCCCCAGAGTTGCCTCATGCCTGTTTGTACTCAGCCCATCCCAGTCCCGGGTAACCACTCATCATCTTGTCTGTCTAGATTTGCGTTTTCTGAACATTCCCCGGAAATGGAGCTGCACAACATGTAGCCTATTATGCCTGGTTTCTTTCCCTCGGCGTCATTTTTGAGGCGTATCCCTGGTGTAGAGTGTGTCCGCAGTCGCACCTTTGTGTCGCTGCGCAGTGGGCCATCGCGTGGATGTGCCGCAGTTTGTCCACTCATTGGCTGGTGGACGTGGGGACTATTTCCAGTTTGGGCTGTTATGAATAATGCTGTTGTGAACATTCATGTGCGAGTTTTTATATGGCCATATGGTTATTTTCTTTTTTAAAAGATTCTACTTATTTTTTTAGAGAGAGGGGAAAGAAGGGAGAAAGAGAGGGCGAGAAACATGTGCTAGAGAAGCATAGATCAGTTGCCTCTTGCATGCTCCCAGTGCGGGGACCTGGCCTGCAACCCAGGCGTGTGCCCTGACTGCGAATCAAACTGGCGACCTATCGGTCTATGGCCAGTGCTCAATTCCATGAGCCACACCAGCCAGGACAATATATATGGTTTTATTTTCTTTGTGTCGCTACCTAGGAGTGAAATTACTGGCTCATATACTATTTATGTTTAAATCTTTAAGCAACTGCCAAATGATTTTCCAAAATGGCTGTAACATTTAACCTTTCTACTAGCAACGTATGAGGGTTTCAGTTTCTTCACATCCCGGCTGACACTTGGTATTGCCTTTTTAAACTGCAGCCATTCTAGTGGGTATGAAGTAGTATCTCAGTGTGCTTTTAATTTGTATTACCCTAGTGACCAGTGTGATGTTGAGCATCTTTTCCTGTCCTTATTCGTTATTTATATGTCTGCTCAGATGACACACCTATTCAAGTCTGTACCTATTGAGATAATCCTGTATTTTAAATTTATTAATGAAGTAATGACATTAATGGCTTTTTAAAATGTTGAACCATCCTTGCACTTGGTTTACTATATGCTGTATTCAGTCTGTCACCACTTTATTGAGGAGCAATGGGTGTAGCTTGCTTTCTTTGGTGCTGCCCTTGTCTATTGTGATGTTAGTGTTATGCTAGCCTCATTTATTTTATTTTGTGTATTTTGATAATTTTTATTGTATTTTTTCCCATTACCATTTATCCCCCTTATACCCTATTCCACCTCTACCCACACCCTCCCCACCTGCAGTCAATGCACTTGTCTGTGACCATGAGTCCTTGTTCTTTTTTGCTCCGTTCCTCCAACCCCCACTCTCCCCCACTCAGCTGTCACCTGCTCTCTATCTGTGAGTCTGTCTCTATTTTGCTTGTTAGTTCAGTTTATTCATTAGATTCCACATACAAGTGAAGTCATATGGTTCTTGCCTTTCTCTGACTGGTTTATTTCACTTAGCGTAATGTTCTCCAGCTCCATCCATGCTGTTGCAAAGGGTAAAAGTTTCTTCTTTTTTATGACTGAGTAGTATTCCGTTGTCTTTTTTGCTGTTAGGATTATCCTGGCCTCATTTAAAAATATAAAACACTTTCACTCTTTATATGCTCATGAACCATTTAAGAAGTAGAAATTATTTATTCATTAGTTTGATGAAGTTTGCCCTTAAAATATTTTGGTCCTGGTACTCTTTGGGGAATACAGTTTCTATTGTATTTTCAATTTATTCTAGGTTATTCAGGTTTTTCACATCTTTTTGAATCCTTTTTATACTTTTTTAAGAAAATTATTACATTGCAATTTTACATTTTATTGACATAAATATGCAAATATAGTCACATAATTTTCACATTCCCCTGCGTATTTGTGGTTCTATCCTCCTGCTGACCCCTAACATTTTTTGAGAAGGCAGTTTGACGTTATGTCAGTGCTACAGCCTCCGACACCGCCTGGCTGACTCGGGATTTCAGCTCTGTCCTCACTGCCTGCTAAGCTGCAGGCAAACAGCTGCTTTTGTCACAGTTTCTATGTCATAGAACAGGGATTTTGTCACTCATTTATTAAAATACTTTTGAGGGTCTTTGTGTCAGATACTGGGCCAGATATTGGGACTGGAATAGTGAACAAAACATCGTGTTGGTGAAAATACCAAACAAGATGGAGAAGTAAAATATCTGGTATATCAGAGAGAAGTGTGAAGGGAGAAAAATAAACGGGGAAGGGGAGAGGACTTATTTAGGATGGTAATAATACCGTCGTACCAGGTTGACGTGCAAATTAAATGAGAAAATGTATGTACAGTGATTAGCACAGTACCTGGTACTTGGTGCTCAACATTAGCTCTGTTAATATATTAATCTTTTTTTTCTTGATCAGATTTGTTAGTGGTTGGGCCAGTTTATTGGGATTTTATTTTTTTTATTTTTATTTTTATTTTATTTTTATTTATTTTTTAAAATTGATTATGCTGTTACAGTTGTTCTATTCCCCCCTTCATTCCCCTCCACCCTGCCCCCCCATCCCCACCATTACCCCCCTTTAGTTTATGTCCATGTGTCTCAATTCCTTTAGATTCTATATTTCCCATGCTATTCTTGCCCCCCCCCATCTATTTTCTATCTACTGTCTATGCTACTTATTTTCTGTACCTTCTCCCCCCATCTCCTCCTCCCACTCCCCTGTTGCTAATCCTCCTTGAGATCTTCATTTCTATGTTTCCACTCCTGATCTAGCTGTCCTTTTAGTTTGCTTTCGTTTTAGGTGTGGTTGTTAATAACTGTGAGCTTATTGTTCTTTCACTGTTCATGTTTCTTTAACTTCTTTTTCTTAGATAAGTCCCTTTAACATTTCATATAATAAGGGCTTGGTGATGATGAACTCCTTGAATTTGATCTTATCTGAGAAGCACCTTATCTGTCCTTCCATTCTAAATGAAAGTTTTGCTGGATAGAGCAATCTTGGTTGTAGGTCTTTAGATTTCATGACTTGGAATATTTCTTTCCAGCCCCTTCTTGCCTGTAAGGTCTCTTTTGAGAAATCTGCTGACAGTCTGATGGGGACTCCTTTGTAGGTGATTGTCCCCTTAGCTCTTGCTGCTTCTAGGATTCTCTCCTTCATTTTAATTTTGGCTAATGTAATTATGATGTGCCTTGGTGTGTTTCTTCTTGAGTCCAACTTTTTTGGTACTCTCTGAGCTTCTTGGATTTCTTGGAAGTCTATTTCCTTTGCCAGATTGGGGAAATTTTCTTTTATTATTTGTTCAAATAAGTTTTCCACTGGTGGCTGTGCCTTTCCCCCTTCTGGTACCCCTATAATTCGGATATTGGAGCGTTTAAAGATGTCCTGGAGGTTCCTAAGACTCTCCTCATTTCTTTGAATTCTTGCTTCTTGACTCTTTTCTGTTTGGCCATTATTTGCTTTCTTCTGGTCCACTCCATTGATTTGAGTCCCAGTTTCCTTTTCATCGCTATGGGTTTCCTGTGGAATTCCATTCATTTCCATTAGTTTAGCCTTCATATGTTTCTCTAATTTGTGGCTATAATCAACCAGATCTGTGAGGATCCTGATGACCAGTGTTTTAAACTGTGCGTCTGAGAGTTTTGCTATTTCTTCGTCGCTTAGATTTATCTCTGGGGCTTTGAGGTCTTCCTGCGACATTTTTGGTCTGTTCTGGCCCTTTAAGTGTGAGAAGTGGCGGCTTGGACTCCCAGGTCGCTGGGTTGTGACGCTGTATGTGGGGGCGTGGTCAGAGCAGGGAAATGGCGGCGCCCTCTATCACCGCAGCCGGTCCAACCGCCCACTCCCTCGCCTGTCCGCTCGCACGCAAATAGGCAACTGCAGTCAACACGCAGCACCGCCTCCCCACTGTCTCCTCTGCAGTCGCTCACCCGGTGGGTTGCTCGGTCGCTCACTAGGTCCAATCCTGCGTTTGGAACCCGCGTGTCTGGATTCGTGCGTCTGGATTCCGCGCCCGGGTCCGACTGAGTCCTCCTGTGCAACCCCTCACCAGACGCCAGTTTCGCCCCTTACCGGTCGGGCTGAAGAATTTGTTGTTAACAGACTTCCGAAAAGTTCAATTTTCCGTGTTCTGGTTGTGTTTTCTGATGCTAATATTTAGTTGTCCCTAAACTTGGTTGTGTGAGAAGGCACGGCACATCCACCTATACCTCCATCTTGGCGGAAGTCCAGTTTATTGGGATTTTAGAGAACTGGCTCAACTCTAATGTTACATAGTTTGCTTTCTTATTAATTTCAGCTTTAATCTTTGAATTCATTTTCTCTACATTCTTTTGGTTTATTTTTTAACTTTCTAGGCTAAATGTTTATTTTCAGTCTTCTCATTTTCTAGTAAATGCATTTGAGGTTCTATATTTTCCCCTGAGTAATTCTTTTACCATTTCTTTTGCTTTATACAGTGTCCAAATTACATAGACTTTCTTACTAGCCTGTAACTTTGGTTTTAGTCTTCCTCTTTAGTTCAAGATTTATTTAGAAGTGCTTTCAGAATTTTCTAGGTTGTATGATGTATTTGCCATTCACGTGAATGTGTGTTAGTGTTCCTAGCCTTTTTGGGTTTTGGTTTTCTTCATGTTAGTAGGCAATTGTGACTTAAAAGCATTACCAGCTTTTAGGAATTTTCTTTATGATTGAACACATGATTTATTTCCATAAATGTTGCATTGGGTATTTGAAGTATGTATATTCCTGGTTAGCTGAGCATAAAAATTTTTCCGTGTTTGTGTTTATAAAATCAAATGTAATACCTTTGTGACTTAAACTTTCCATATTGTTAATTTAATTTTTCTGGCTGCTGCTTTTGATGTCTAAGAGAGAAAAATTTTTTAAGATTTTTAAATTTATTTATCCTTAGAGGGGAAGGGAAGGAAAGGAAAGAGGGAGAGAAACATCAGTGTATGGTTGCCTCTCGTGCATTCCCTGCTGGGAACTGGCCTGCAACCCAGGCATGTGCCCTGACTGGGAATTGAACCACAGTTGTTTGGTTCGCAGGCCCGCGCTCAATCCACTGAGCTATACCAGCCAGGACAGAGGGAACATTTTTTAAAATTCTCTCATCAAGATAGGACTTTGAGAAATTCTTTTTGTACTTCTAGTAGATTTATTTTAAAAACCTACTTTACTGAAATATAATTGACATACAATAAAATGCACAAATATTAAGTGTAAAATTCTACGAGTTTTGAGAAATGCATATACTTTTATAATCCCCACCCCAGTGGAGATACAGAACTTCTCTGTCACTCCAGGCAGCGTCTTTGTGCCCCTCTCAGTCAGTCCCCATGCAGGCCCCAGCAACCACGCATGGTTTCTGTCTCCATAGCTCCGCGGTGTTTGTGTGGAGCTTTATATGCATTGAATTATGCAGTACGGAGTTTCCTGTCTGTTTTCTTCTGTTCCATGAAATGATTTTAGACATATTAGTAGTTTGTTCTTCCTTCCTTCCTTCCTTCCTTCCTTCCTTCCTTCCTTCCTTCCTTCCTTCCTTCCTTCCTTCCTTCCTTCTTTCTTTCTTTCTTTCTTTTCCTTCCTTCCTTTCCCTCCCTCCCTCCCTCCCTCCCTCCCTCCCTCCCTCCCTCCCTCCCTCCCTCCCTTCCTTCCTTCCTTCCTTCCTTCCTTCCTTCTTTCCTTCTTTCCTCCTTTTTTTCCTTCCTTCCTTCCTTCTGAGGATTATACTGAGTCCATTGGTTTTTGTTTTGGGTTTTTTTTGGCCTACTTGATGCATAAGGTTTCAAAATTGTTTTATCTTATTTGGGAAAAGGCTACTTTAGATTCCGTTCATATCCTTCTGTTGGCAAAAGACATCTGGTCTGTAGTTATATGGGGAAAATATAGCCAAGCACCCTGAGTTTTATGCGTGCTTATTAGTTGTCTACACTGATAACAAGTGAGAGAACAAGAGAGAAGACAGATGGTTCGTAGAGCTTTGCTGACTTTCTAAATGGCTTCTTGGCACGGTTATCCCAGCCTCGGCCTCCCTCTGAGAGCTGGGATGACAGTGCAGTGGAAATGCCTCTGATAGTTAAGGTGACTCTCAAAGAGTGAGGGACGGGACCTGGGCCCCTGCAGTGTGTCCATGTCGTACCTCTGTGGAGGTTCTTCATGGAATATAATCCCAGAATTTGCCCTTGTCATAGACGTGTGGCCAGCAAGCAACTCGAACTTTAATGATTCCATATTTGAAGAGTAAGTAGAGTTAAAGAAAACAAGCAGCTGCTTAAAAGAAACTATTGATCAGTTAATTTTCAATGACTTGGAGATGAATTACTCAGTTTATAGATTATCTACAGTAGAGTATTCATTCTCCCATTTACTTTTTAACTTTTTTGTTGCTTTTTAGCTCCTTTAACAATACAAAGAGGAAACGAAATTCCATTTGCTTTTAGTAGTTATAAAAGGGGTGCGTGTGTGTGTGTGTGTGTGTGTGTGTAGGTGAAGGAGATTAAAACTGTTTTCTAAAATAAAATCACTTTTGCCCTGACCCATGTGGCTCGGTTGGCTGAAGCATTGTCCAGCAAAGTGAAAGGTAGGCAGTTCAGCACTGGCTGGTGTAGCTCAGTGGATTGAGTGCGGGCCTGCAAACTAGAGGATCGCGGTTTCATTCCCAGTCAGAGCACATGCCTGGGTTGCAGGCCAGTTCCCAGCAGGGGACGTGTGAGAGGCAACCATACATTGATATTTCTCTCCCTGTCTCCTTCCCTTCCCCTCTAAGCATAAATAAATATATAAATAAAATCTAAAAAAAAAAGGTGAGCAGTTCAGCCCCTTTGACAGAGCGCACTGGGCTGTGGGTTTGGCCCTCGATCAGGGAGTGGACCAGATGCAACCAGTTGACGTCTCTCTCACATGGATGTTTCTCTCCCTCCCTTCACCTCTCTCTAAAAGTAAATAGATAAAATCTTTAAAAAATAAAAGCACTTTTGTAACTTTAGGCAAGTCACTTAACCTATCTGAACCTCAGTCTCCTCACTGGCAAAGTGAGTCGGATGCCTACACACTGGTCTCACAAGGTCCTCGACGTCACTGCGTAAGGGCCGTGGTCTGTACAAAAGTGCTTTGTCAGTGTTTGAGTTCTGATGAAATCTGTGCGTGTGTTTTATTTTTATATTTACAACTGTTCTGTTATTCCTTTCTCCTTAAAGATATTTGATTCCTTGCTGTAGAGATATAATAGACTTATTTCCAAAATATATGTGACTTTCTTAAAAGCCAGCATTATAAAAAATTTAATCATTAAAAAGTATGTGCTACCTTAAAGTTAAAAAAATAGTTCTACTTTGAAAAGATTGTTTCAAGGAACACTGTTGTGATGAACATGTTGTAAAGCAGGAAGCCCGGGGTGGGAGAGGTGGGAGCACTGCGCCCATTGGCCGATCCAGTTACGTCGCAGGGGGCTCGTCTTTGTGTGGGTTTTCGTTTAGAAAGCGTGGAAAACAATTCATGTTCTGTCGGAGGAGTGCCATAATGTCATTATCTTACCACAGCGCTTTATAACCATAAACCTTAGTTTTCCTGTGAATCCAGATTTCTACATATTGGGCTTACTTTAAATTATAACCAGTCAAGTCCTGTTTTTAATTCTGTTTTTGGAAAAGAACTGAGATATGTTGTCTTCTACTGTAAGTACACAATCTTTGCAATATCATTTCTCAGTAGTTCCACAGGAACGGAGAGTAGTCGTGCATTCAGTCACACAGTTTGTGCCGTCCTTCCTTGGAAGCTGAGTGACAGGAGTGAGGGGCAGTGACATCAGTTGTTAGGGCCTGTACATTATTCATTTAACATCCGCCGTCGGTTCTCGTTTTCCCTGTGGGGGAATAGATTACAGCACATCAGCACATTTTTCATGCTTTGTGTTTAAGCATTTAAAAGTCGTGCATTCTATTATTAATACTATTTTATTTCTGCTTGTTTGGCAGCCCCTGAGGTCATCAATGCCCATGACTACAGCCAGCAGTGCGACATCTGGAGCATAGGGGTCATCATGTACATTTTGTGAGTAGCTCGCTGAATGCGCAATTTCAAATGCATGTTTTCTATCATGATCGTGTCGATTTTCAGTTAAAAGTAAACAATAGAGTTTTTAAACAGTGACTGAAAAAACAATCAGGAGGTCAGTCCGAAAGCTCTCTCATTAGTTGTCAGGTACTTACATTAGGTATTTTTTAATATCATAAATTCTTAACTTTCAGCTTCACTTTTTATTAACCTGTAACAATGTACTGGATGAAGTGAACATAGTGAAAAACCTGCTGTGAAACTTCCCTGATCCTTTGCTACAAACCAAGCTTCTTTGCTTCTTTGTATTTTCTCAAGAGATCATAAGAGCCTGTCAGGTAGAGGGCTGTCCTGTGTACAGGCAGGTGTGATGAGTGCGCACTAGCCAGGCAGGGCTTCAGCCCAGGGTCCCGTATCCCATGCCTCTGGGTCTTTGCTCATGCAGTTCCTTCTGCCTAGAATGTTCTTTCTTCTGTGCTAATCTTTCCCCTGGATGTACCTAGGTCAGACAGTAACACCTTGTATTTTGCAAATTCCTATTCTGCTTCAGCAGAGTTACTATGTTTGTTATGCGTACTTTCCCATAGGACTTAAGGAAACATACAGAAATGTATGCAAAATAGTAACATTGAAAGAAGAGCAAAATAGTAAGAATATTTAACCAGGAAGGTTAGCATGTGTGTAAATTCGGTAGAATTAATTGTTCACTTCTCTGTGTTCTCATAGCACTTTTAAAAACTAGATTATAATGCTGTGCTATAATTATTGTATTATGAGTATTGTATCTATTTTCCTTGCTCTAAGTTCCATGAGGGACAGACATCTTCATCTTTGCATCTCTGGCATCTGGTACAATAGTAGGCATGTATGTGCTCAATGTCTGTTTGTCAATTGAATTAAAGTGAATTTTGTAAGAGGTGTTCTGAAAAGTCAGGGACCATTGTTCTGCCTCTTGATGAATATGAACATTTTTATGTTGATGCAACATTAGTTGTATGGCCATACTGAAGATTTCACCGTGTACTTCCTCTTCCAGATCATTTCTAAATATTGACATTACAACAGTTACACTTACGTAGTTTTGTGGGGTGGAATACACAGGCCGTGGAAATTGGATGATGGGATTATAGCTGTAACTCAGGTGGTCAGCATGCATTGCCTGCTCATATTACATGAAGTATAAATGTTGTCACGCAGTTTTGATCATTGTTTTGTGTTAGTTAGAATCATATCGTAAAAATTCTGAGCCTTAGTCTTTAATTAAAAATATAACCATTTTAACATAGTGCTTTATACTCTTAAGTCTTTCTAGACAACACAAATATATGTGCAACCTAATATTACATAATTCATGTGTTTGCTGCCTTCTTAGTTTTGAATTTGATATTAAGGAAAGCGATAGTGTATTAATATGTTCAATTTTTTCCTCTTTCTTGACAACACCATTTTAATTTTTCTGCTTCAGAGCATCACTGCATATCATCACAAGCAACATCTTTTTTCCCTTACAGTAGACTCTCACTTTGCTAATCGGTGCCTGTTCATTAATCTGCCTGAGCCCAGTGATCTTGGGTAATTTCCTTCAGTGAGGGTACAAGCATATTAACTCCTCCAGGGGGGTTACTTTCTTGTTTATCAGTAACTTCTGATTTATTTCTACTTAATTGGACAATGTTAACATACTTTCTCAAGGTGAAATTAACATAAGTACTCTTTATGGGTGTGTCCTCTGCTATTTTGACTCCTGTGGATGCAGCAGAAAACAACAGGAAAGCGTTAAGAGGCATTTTTCATGTCTTGGATTTACTTTTCTGGAAGTGCAGAAAATTGTTGTCATAAAATTTCACATGCTGCTGATTAACCAGCCATCAGATACATTCTTGTGTAAGTAGAATTGCAAAGGACAGAAAAAAAGTGGAATTTTAAAAAGTAGCCCTTAAGCTATAGTTGCCTGCTAGGCAGGCAGAGCAGAGAAATTGGCGAATGTGTGGTTGCTGGTGATTAACAGACTCGGTGAGCTGGTCTTTTGCTGGCTCGTACTTGTTACAATAGATAGTCATTGTCCATAAGACCTTTTTTTTCTGGCTTTTTAAAAGTTGCATTTTAAAAGTGAATAGTGGTGAGGTAAGTAAGATCAGAGAAAGGAGGGTCAGAAGGAGCTAGAGAAGTTGAAAAGTTTGCAGAGCAATTTGGTAAATACCCATCTCATACCAAAGAAGGACCTATTGGTAAATAAAAAGTTACATTGTCCAGCCTAGTTTGATAAACTAGTAGGACAAAAACACGCTTTTTCCCCTAGGAAAATCATCATCATCATTTTGATTCAAAATATTTATTAAATGTAGACTTATTAAAAAATGTTTGTGGGAAAGATTTTTAAAGAACTTAAAGGTATAGCTAAAAAATCAGTAGAACTTCCGGCCAAGACGGAAGCGTATGTGGAAATAATGTGCCTCCTCACACAACCAAAATTAAGGACAACAAAGATTTAGAAACAAAAACACAACCAGAACAGACAGAAAATTGAACTGTACAGAAGTCCAACAACCATTCAACCAGACCAGTAAGAGGGACAGAGTCGGTGGAGAGGGACGGAGGTTGGCAGCAGGAAAAGGCGGTGGCTGCCCGATCCGGGAGTGCAGGTGGCACAGGGCTGACTGCAGTCACACTCACACATTCGAGCGCAGATAAACTAGGCAAAAACGGGCAGCAAGATGGACAGTGCAACCCAGGGCTCCAGTGCCTGGAAATAAAGCCTAAAAGCACCAGTTGAAAAGGTTCTGGGAGAGACTCCCAGCCTCACAGGAGAATTTAATGGAGATACCCACAGGTCCTAGAACATAAACAAGCCCACCCACCTGGGAACCAGCACCAGAAGGGCCCAATTTGCTTGTGGAAAGTGGCAGAAGGGACTGAAATCCAAGAGAGAGCGGAGCAAGCGCCATTGCTCTCTCTCTGACCCCGCCCCCACATACAGTGTCACAACCCAGCAACCGGTTGCCCTGCCCTGGTGAACACCTAAGGCTCTGCCCCTCATACATAACAGGTGAGACCTGACCAAAAAATTATGGCTCAACCAGAAGAACAAATCAAAGCCCCAGAACCAATACTTTTAAGTGACCAAGAGATAGCCAACCCATCAGATGCACAGTTCAAAGCACTGATGATCAGGATGCTCACAGAACTGGTTGATTTTGGTCACAAATTAGATGAAAAAAATGAAGGCTACACTAATTGAAATGAAGGGAAATGCACAGGGAACCAATAATGATGGAAAGAAAACTGGGACTGAAATCAATGGAGTAAACCAGAAGGAAGAAAGAAACAACCAAACAGAAAAGAATGAAGAAACAAGAATTAAAAAAAAATGAGGAGAAGCTTAGGAACCTTCAGGACATCTTTAAATGTTTCAACATCCAAATTATAGGGGTACCAGAAGGGGAAGAGGAAGAGGGACAAGTGGAAAACTTATTTGAACAAATAATAAAGGAGAACTTCCCCAATCTGGTGAAGGAAATAGACTTCCAGGAAATCCAGGAAGCTCAGAGAGTCCCAAAGAACTTGGACCCAAGAAGAAACACACCAAGGCACATCATCATTACATTAGCCAAGATTAAAATGAAACAGAAAATCCTAGAAGCAGCAAGAGATTAGGGGACTGTCACCTACAAAGGAGTTCCCATCAGACTGTCAGCTGATTTCTCAAAAGAGACCTTACAGGCAAGAAGGGGCTGGAAAGAGGTATTCCAAGTCATGAAATCCAAAGACCTACAACCAAGATTACTCTATCCAGCAAAGCTTTCATTTAGAATGGAAGGGCAGATAAAGTGCTTCTCAGATAAGATCAAATTCAAGGAGTTCATCATCACCAAGCCCTTATTATATGAAATGCTAAAGGGACTTATCTAAGAAAAAGAAGTTAAAAAAACATGAACAGTGAAAGGACAGCAAACTCACAGTTATTAACAACCACACCTGAAACAAAAGCAAACTAAGCAAACAGCTACAACAGGAACAGAACCACAGAAATGGAGATCACATGGAGGGTTAGCAACAGGGGAGTGAGAGGAGAGAGGGGGGAAAGGCACAGAAAATAAGTAGCACAGACGGTGGGGAGGAAATGGGCAGGGGCAAGAGTAGTGTGGGAGATGTAGAAGCTAAAGAACTTATGATACATGGACATGAACTAAAGGTGGGGAATGTGGGTGGGAAGGGGTGTGCAGGGTGGAGGGGAATGAAGGGGGGGAAATGGGACAAGTGTAATAGCATAATCAATAAAATACATTATAAAAGAAAAGAAAGAAAGAAAGAAAGAAAGAAAGAAAGAAAGAAAGAAAGAAAGAAAGAAAGAAAGAAAGAAAGAAAGAAAGAAAGAAAGAAAGAAAAGAGAGAGAAAAGAGAAAGAAAGATCTGGACATCAAAAGTAAATTTGAGGGTGGCAATGATTTAAAAAAATCAGTAGAAATGTAACTGTTAGGGGACTTAGAGATCATTATACTTAAGTACATATTAGACCAGAATTTGGAAAGAATAATGGAATTGCACTATTTTATTCTTTCAGCAATAAAGTGGGAAAAATATAGTCTTGAGAGTTGAAGAGTAGACAGATAGAGTTGCTCTGTAAGGAATCCGGGTCCAACTTCTGTCTGGCCGTCGTGGGGGGAGTCTGGTGGTCTTGCTTGGGGTTGCTCCCAGAAGCCAGGTTGGCCGTAACAACAGTGGCTAACACTTGCTGACAATGGACTACAAAGAACTGAATTCGACTTTAAGCACGTTTTTGTAGGTTGGGACTGGATTATCTACTGAAGCATAGGCTTGCCTCTTCATTAAGCATAGCACAGTTCTTCCACTTAAAGATCCTGACGACACGTAGCTCCTGTGTTCTGGAATGTGTGGACAAGCTCGGGTTCCCACACTGCTCATGGCTGCACTGATGTCGGTCATTCGTCTGCTCAGCTTTCGCCCTTTCAGACTGAAGTGTCACATCATCACCATCTGACTTTTCTCATCCAGACCGTCTTTTGTATACTATTTTTGAAGAGTTGTGATCATTTTAATGGATTTTTTTAGCTTTGACTCAGAGCTATAGATGTTTCCAGGGTTATTCTTGGTTTAATCTTAGTAACATTTGTATAGTATTTTACCCTGGATAAAATTCTTAGATGGTCATTTAGACTCTGATAACTCAGTATATTTTCCCAGAATTTAGTTCAGTTTATGTGCCTTTGGCATGACATTACCCCTGCTCACAATAACCTGTGTCTCCTCTATTATCCGCAACTATTCCTGTGTGCACACCTTCCTGGATGTCAACCCTGGCTAAGCTTAGTGTTTCTCCACCTGGAACAGCTTTGGGTCATTTGCAGATCTGGGGGTTTCGGTGACAGGGGTGTCCAACCTTTTGGCGTCTCTGGGCCACACATTAAATACACAAACACTAACAAAAACAAAAAAAATTCATAATGTTTTAAGTAGGTTTACAATTTTGTGTTGGGCCACATGCATGGCCACCCTGGGCTGCACGCGGCCCTCGGGCTGCGGGCTGGACACCCCTGGGCGGGTGTAAGAGCCTAGCACTGATCTCGCAAAACCCCTTTGCGTCCATTTCTACACACAGGAGGTACGTGCTGTGTTACATGCTGCTGACTTGGCTCCAACTCTTGGAAACTCTGTGAATGAGTGATGTCCATGGTGTCCTGTCCTCACCAGCCCTACTCAGCTCCTGTAGATTCATGCTTATGGCTCCTTAAAAAAAAATTTTTTTTTACTGTGCTAGGATGATAAGTGGTTAAAAAAAATTTATTGTATTTTTTCCATTACCATGTAGTCCCCTTATACAACCCCCCAAATCACCATACTGATGTCCATGAGTCCTTTTTCCTTATTGCTCAGTCCCCTACACCCCATAACCCGCCCCCCGTCCATCATCCTGCTCTCCATCTATGAGTTTGTCTTTTCCGAAGAACCCTACCTTCTCGGGATGCGCCCGAGTGGGACAGCTTCCGAGGTGTCACTTTGCCGTCAGCAGTGTGTCAGGCGTGACTTGCTCCAGGACCCATGTGCCCCGCTCTCTGGCCCTCTGGGGCGTCCGTAGAGGTCTTGTCCAGCATCTTTTCTCAAGTGAACCATTTTTTGTGTCATTCTTCTCCATTGTCCAGCTTTTACATCCATGCACAGGAACTGGGAATATGGGGCCTGGACGGGCTTAGCCGTGGTCTGATGACACATCTTTGCTCTTGATGGTCTTTCCCAGTTCTTACATTTCTGCCCTTTCAAGTCGCAGTCTTCTTGCTCTTTTGTTAGAGATTTTACTTATTTATTTTCGGAGAGATGGGAAGGGAGGGAGAAAGAGAGGGAGAGAAGCCTCAATTGGATGCCTCTCACACTCCCTCAACCAGGAGCCTGGTCCACAACCCCGGCACGTGCCCTGACTGGGAATCGAACCAGCGACCTGCAGTTTGTAGGATGACAACCAACTCACTGATTCACACCAGTCAGGGCTCAAGTCTCAAGTCTCTTCTTGATTTCTTGGCTGCAGTCCATTTTTATCTTTTATTTATTTAATTTTTAATTGTTATTGAATTTATTGGGGTAACAGTGGTTAATAAAATTATATAGGTTTCACTTATAGTCTCTATTTGAATTAATGACTGAACCAAGATAACCAAAATTTAACAGTTTCAATGTCTTCATGTCTGTCCTTCTTCCTGTCCTTTATGTAAATATGAAGCAGCACTACTTCCAAGTCCTGTGGAAACTTAATTTTTAATAGCCTTATTTGGATTTTTAAAAAAATCTAAAGAAAATGATTGCCTTTGTTGTAGATTATGTGGAGAACCACCCTTTTTGGCAAGCTCAGAAGAGAAGCTTTTTGAGTTAATAAGAAAGGGAGAACTACATTTCGATGGTCCGGTTTGGGATTCCATAAGTGATTCTGGTAATGCGGATTCATTATTATTTACTAAAGCAAATATGCACAATGTAAGAATTGTAGTTTGCTAGTAATTCACATACTTGAAACCTCTGTTTAGTCATTGACTTTACTTGTAGAAATAACACTTTTTACTTGTGGAAATAGTGATTATCTTCACTGTGATTTTTATAGTCAAAACTTCCAACCAAAACAGAAACTACATAGTAAAAATTGAAGAGGAAATGTGCTGATTATCTAGTTAATTTTTACTATATAATATAAATCAGCTAATCCAGGCAATAAAACCTCACTGTAGGCCCTTAATTTTATTTCTAAGCTATTTATACTGATGATATTTGTTTTATAATAGTTATCTTTCCTCATGTCATACAGACCTAATTTTAAATAAATTGGAAATTAAGAGTTACTAATTGCAGTTAGGAAATAAGATATTCAGGATATTCTTTTATTTGCAGCCAAAAGTGTTTTGAAACAACTTATGAAAGTAGATCCTGCTCACAGAATCACAGCTAAGGAGCTGCTGGATAACCAGTGGTTAACAGTAAGTCACTGTGTTACAAAAGTTTTTTTTTCTTATTGACATTCTACCTTGCTCATTTCTTTTCATTTGGCCTCGTAGCTTATATATAGTTTTTATTTAAAAAATAGTCAATTTCTCTTATCTTCTGACACATTAAAAAAATGATTGAGTCTTGCACATTTCTGAAATGGGTATCTACAAACTTAGCATATCTAACAGGGAACTCGTGAGTCACCCCCCTGTGTAAGCATATTAGATAATGCTAAGTGTGAGATGCCTGCGTGCCATCCACATAGAGATATCAAATATACTTGAATATATGGGTCTAGAGCTAGAAAAGCCTGAGCTGGAACTGTAAGTATGGGAATTGGGAGTAGATAGATGCCATAGAAAGCTATTAGGCTGAAGAGATGAATTAGGAAGAAAATACGGATAGAAAGGAAAAGAGATCCCCGCACCCTGCTTTTAGATAATACAACATTTAGTAGAGGAGAAGCTAGCACCAGAGGCTGAGAAGGAGTAGCTGGCGAGGGAGGAGGAAAATTGCAAGAGCGGTGCCGGGAAGTTAAGTGAGAAAAATGTTTGAGAAAGTGAGAGCAGTCAGCTGCCAGGTAAATGCTGCTGAGAGGTCAAGATCAGAATGAGAAGCTTCCATTAGACCAGCCAACAGAGCGGTGGGTGGTGACCCTGAAGGCCCAGGTAAGTTTAGGTTCCATAAATTTATAGTGATATCACTCTTCTTTTAAATTTTCTAATTTTCCTTTGGCAATTTCTAATCATTTCTTTGAGTAATACTTTTTCTCCAAGGCTAAAAGAAATTAGTCTTCACTCAAAAATGGGTTCTTTCTGCCCTCTTTTATGAATATGTTGATCTCTCAAATCATTCTGTGCAATCAGTATTTCTGGCCTCAAGTAACTGTGCAAACGAGCTAGCAGCTAGACAGATCGTTGCAGAACTGCGCCGAGTAGATTCGTGCAGCAAAATCAGAACCCATACAACAGATGGTGTGCCTCGGAAACCTCTCTCTTTTCAGCTTCACACAAGGTTCGGGTTTGGCCATGTGATTATTTGTGTTCTAATTAGTACAGCTTTATTTCTGGCTTTGGTCATTTTTCCAGAAGCCTCCTTTTTTGAGCCACCATACCATTTGTTTCTGTGTGGTCTTTGCCAAATGGATGGAAAGCGACAGATAGCGTGCACTGTATCAGACTGTCCTAAGGAGTTCAGTGTGTGAAGTTGAGAATAGCAGCATCTTACAAACTTCTAAAAGGCAGAACTCTTTTCTTCTTACCCACTTGAAGTCTTACTTCATATCCTCTGTTTGAAATAACCTAAAGGGAACATGTTAGTTCTCTCAGTGCCTTGCTGCTTTATAACCGGAGCTTATCTTTTGCAGTCTCACACACACAACATTTTTTTTTCAAAGAGCTTTATTGGATAACAAGTTTCTAGGGCTTAACCTATGTATTGTCCATTTAGAAATATGGTACATATCTGAAGAGTATTCTATGTACATTTAAGTGAATGGAACTTAAAATAAACACATATTGTCATTCTGATTTCAAAAGTCCAAAGATCAGATGTAAAGAAAAATAGCCAAGGAATGGCTTTCCCGCCAGGAAGAGTCTGATGGTGACTCACATGCCAGGAGGGCCCTGGTCCCCCCCGTCCGTCTCTTCCCTGCGTCCTCTTTACTCTCAGCAGCAGTTCAGGAGTTTATTCCCTTTTATTGGATGAATACAGGTGCCTGTGGTGTTCCTTCAAGTCCGCTAGTAACAACTAACACCAAGAATTTGCATTTTAAACAAATTTCCCAGTTGTTTTTAATGTCTGCTTATATATAAGGACCCTACTATGAATTAAGGAAACATTTTTCTTCTGTGGTTTGTCAAGAAAGCTTTCAGATTTTAGCTCTATTGGCATTATTCAGACATTCAGTAGTTTTTTTTTTGTGCCTACCACGTGCCAGGACCTTTGCTAGGTGATGAAATGTAGCTGTAGACATGCAGGACGTGGTGTCTGACAGGAGGAGCCCACAGTCTAGTAAGGAGGCACGCCATGTACAAGATACAATGCAAGGGAGAGAATGATAAATGACCTAAGAAGCTGCCAAATGACCAGAGGTGCAGAAGCAAGCAAGTGTGAAAATAGGAAGTTCAATTTGACTGGCAGATTAAGATGCTGGAAGGAAAGAAATGGGAAATGAGACTTTTAGAAAAGGAAAGAAAATTGTGTGGAGGACTTGAATCTCAGGCTAGAAAGAATTTTAACTTCCTTTCATAAATAGTGGAGACCAATTATAGGCTCTTTGAAATGAAGGAAATTATTGTATAGTGTATAAGCCTTGCAAGGTGGCTTATTTTAAATGGGACAAGTGCCATTTACATGCCTATATTGATTTTAATAAGTATCTTTTTACTTAAACCACTGGACACTGTAGGGGTACAAAGATGAATAAAATGCAGCCTTTCCCAGGAAGTCAGTTACCACAGATCCTGGTGTACTTTGCTTTATAGTCACACTTTGCAAAGGCGTATGTGCTCAAGGCGTCTAGGGTCTAATTTCCAGAACAGCATGTCCTAATGTGTGAACAAGGCCCTTGTTCATTAATCAAAAAATTCTTATCCATGGCTTGGTCCTTAACTTTTGACCTTTAGCCTTAATGTACATACTCTACATAAACAAATGGAAATTTTCTGATGCCTAATTGATGGGTTTTTTCCTACTGTGTATTTTCACCCCAAATATGTTTATACTCAACCTTTATTTTACTATATGTAGTTGTTCTTAAATTCTGAATTATGTATATGAATATGCTGTTGAGGCCCTTTTAAAAAGGCTTTTATGAAAATTATGGTAAGAAAAACTGCACGAACCAGAAACCTTGGGGATTTATTTAATACTCAGTGATTAGTATGTACTTAGTAAGTCAGCAGATCCTCACTGGTAGTGGTTATGTGTGGGTCCAGGCCTGGCCCACTGGCCTCCACAGCCCAGTAGAGGGTGTGAAACAAAAGCACTGGAGAAGGAGTATACCATGTGTGTGCACACACGTGTAAGCATGCACTCTATATGTTAAATACAGCATAAAACAAAATGCATTCTATAAGATATGTAAATGTATACTCAGTATAAAAATATGTTTTATAGAGAGTGTGTAGGAGTATATGGTAGTGGTACTATTAGGTTTCCAAGAAGAGAGCTATTACTTCCTTTAGGGCCCTGAAAAACTACTTAGCGTGAAGGCGATACGTGACCTAGCTCTGAAAGAAGGGGAAAAAGTAGGAATTAATGTTGGAGTCATGCAAAGAAAGGGGGGTTCTGGATAAGAAGAACTTGACAAGATTTAAAGACAAGGAAAAAAGCACATTGAGAGACTATGAAGCGTAGTAGTAGCTCTTTTTCTCTAGAACTCTCCAAGGCCTGCAGGGAAGTGGTGGGGAACTAAGCTGTAAAGACCGTCGGGCTGTTTGGCTGCAGACCTTGGCCTCCGCCGAGAGGACTTTATATCTGACTTGTTTTGACAAGGGGTTCCTACTGAAAGGCACTGAAGGACCACGATCACAGCTGAACTTGCGTGAATTTTCTTCTTTGTCCACCTCCATCCAAAAGTTCCTTTGTTCTCTCCCCCGGTGTGTGCTGTACCACTCACCAGCGGTGTGCCAGAGTTCCAGTTCTGTTCTGCACCGTCTCATTGTGGTTTTAATCTGCCTTTCATGAATTACAAATTAAATTGGTCACCCTTATTTATTCTCAGTGGCCTTTTTCATGCCTTCTCTTGAAAAATGCCTGTTCGAGTCATTTCCGCAGTTTTCTGTAGGTTTTATATCTTTTACTTATTGATTTGTAGAGGTTTGTTACATTTTCTAGCTATGGGTCTTTTGTCATGCACACAACCACACAAATAAATGTATGCACGTTAACAAGCATTGGCAGATACTGACTGACGAAAAAGAACACGCAAAGGATCAGCAGATCCTTACCCAAGCAGATGACTTTGAAAAGAATAGATCACTGGAAATTCAGGGTCTTGAAATGGATCCCTGCAAACTATCCTTCCCACACGTCCTTGGAAAGTCTTTATGTATAGCCAGTTTTACCCATGCACCAATTTGAAGAATGTCAGTTTGGAATATATTGAGTTCACTTTGATTTTTCCAGCTTTATTGAGATAAAATTGACATATAACATTGTAAAATTTAAGGTGTACAACATAATGATATATGTGTTGATTAGTAAATGATACCACAATAAGTTTAGTTAATATATCTATCATATCACAGTTACGATTTTTTTCTTGTGAAAAGGACTTTAGGATACACTCTCTTAGCAACTTTCAAGTATACATATAATACAATATAGTATTGAAGGCTCAGCAACATCTCTAGCTAGAAGTTCTTAGCAGGCAATTGGAAATGAGCTCCTAGAATAATGGTATACAGCTAATTTTCTCAGGCTGTTTCCTCCTGAGGAATAGGAATATCACCACCAATCTGTGTACTCACATAGTTGCTGTACTTGTAAGGGAAAAATCACTGAGTTTGTCAGAAAAAAATTAAAGTAACATCAATTGCTTACTTTAGTGGTTGTTATGACGTTGATGCACCGTTGCCTTGGTCTCACTGAGACCCATTTGGAGAGGTTTGGTGATTTTATTGGGTGTGATCAGTTCTTTGTGGGTATCAGCAACCTACATTATTTCTCTCCTATTATAATTTACATTAATTACTAGTCATATAAAAGTAATAATTGAGACTAACCATGGCAAATGATTTAAATGATAAACAAAACAGAAAAAATAACTTTCTCCTTCCATTAACCTCATTTCCTCTTACTGAAGATAACCATTGTTAAGTCTCTTATGTGTTCTTTCAGAAACATTCTATACATTTTTGTGTATATATTTTACACAAATGGGTTCATATTATGCAAACTATTATCTTTTATCTAATATATCTTGGAAAGATTTCCTTATTTAAAAAAAATAGCATTGTATTCCAAGCTATGGATACAATATTATTTTGTGAATAATCCCCAGTGCATATGGATCATTTAAATTGTTTCATATCTTTCCTATTACAAACAGTGGTACGATAAATGATCTTATAAATACATGTTTGCATTCTGTGTCAGCATATCTACCGGGTAAATTCTGAGCAGTGGAGTTGCTGGCCAGAGAGAATGGGCGTTACGCAGAGGCTGTTGCTAACTCACCCTCTGTGAGAAGCAAGTAAATGAGAAAGCCTGTGTCCCCACCCCCTCCAACGTGGGCTGTTGTCAGACTCAAATTTATGTCCACCTGTCAGGTGAAAACTGGCATCTCATTATTTTGATTTGGATTTGGTGGGTTTTTTTTTTTTTACATAGATTGACTATTCTATTTTTCTATTGAAAAGACTGTCCCTGGGAACATGGCAGAATGAAGAGTTCTAGCTGTTTACAAAAAGTGGAATTCGATGACTGCGAGCTGGAGAACCAGCGTGTTTCGGTTTTGCCAGTTTCACATTGTATACCACCTCTCCATAGCTCGTGCGTGTCATTCACTTAAAAATACCTGTTACCTACCAAACACGGAGGGGCATCGTCCCTGAAAAGGCAGATTTTGTTGGGTGGGGACACATGTTTGAGTCTCCATTTGTGGAGCCTGTCCACTAAGGTATTAAATCCAAATCTTAGTATTCAACCAGTGCTTCTCCATGAATGTCTGTTTTTCCAGTTTTTCAAAATAAAATACTCTCAACCTTCTGTTAAATGAGTGGAATTTTTTTCCTTTTTTTATTGTTGTTCAATTACAGGGGTCCCCACTTCCCCCCATTACTCTCCCTGCCCTGCACCTCTCACATTCAATCCCCTACCCCTGTCCCCTTTTCTTTGTCCATGCGTCCTTTGTACGCATTCCTCAGTTTTGTACTTGTAATAGCCTCAGATTATCTGCCTGTTACTGCTGCCTTCTTGCCACCTGCTCCTTGATAGTTGATGAGTTCAGTGTCTGACCCTCTGAATAAAGCCAGTAAAGGGAGTTCAGGGGCTAGTGTTCTGATGGTCAGGTGACATACAGTCTACAGTGTCTGTCCTAACAATTCCTCCCATTTCTGTTTGGTTCGTTGGTTCATCTGGAATTTCTGTTGGACCTAGAAGGCTGATGACACCTACCCCTGGGCCAGTTATTCACCGGTCCGTCCAAGCACGTGGCGCAAGTCCTCTTCCAACACTGGCAGCAACAGGCGGCGGGGAGTGGGGGAAGGAAGGGGGGTTAGTCTAGTAAGTTACTGGCTGGACTTTAGACAACAGGGAAAGTCTGGCATTGATACTACCATTTGATATCACAAATGAATACAGGAAGCAAAGATAACGCTCCTCTTCTGGATCATTTGTTCTTCTCCAGTCTCTTTGGAATGAGAAACAGGGTCATTTCACTGAGGACGAAGGCACTGTACTTTAGGCGTGTGGAGTGTCAGTCACCCAGCTCTCGGGGGTATGCATAGGTAAACTGAGCATGTGAGAGAGTGCTACAGAGGCAGGTTCAAGGTAATACAGGAGTCCTTGCTCTTTGCAGTAGTGCAAGACTACAAAAATAATGCAAGTTGAAACTTCTGGATTAATGAGCTAGCCGTGAAATTTGAACTTTCTGCAGTTATAGTTAATATACCATGCTGGTTGAAATTTGAACTGTGTTGTTGATATTGTTTAACTAAGTCATGATGGCTGAAATTCATACATATTAGGACTGCGCAAAGCAAGGGCTGCCTAAGTAAATGGCCTTCCACATACATGGTACTGATTGTGTGTGATTTCTGTAGTAGTGACAATTTTGTTGGTTATGCTGATGATAGAGTAGGCTCACTGTTTTTAAGACCCTTTAGAAGTAACTTACAGAATGTAAATGTTTATTTGCTGTGTGTTTCAGGATAGGCTAGGTTATGCTGTGGTAGCAGGTGGCCCCCAAATCTCAGCACTCTTGATCCTTCCATCGCACATTGGCTGGGAGGGTGGGGGCAAGACAGGAGACTCTGTTTTCCTTTGTCCTCACTCTGGGACCCAGGCTGAGGGAGGCTTTTACACAGTGTTTCTGTGTTTTTATACAGTAGTTACTGAGGCAGGGATTGGGAACATGAAAAATTGCACATTATCTCTTAAAGTACACCCGGAAGTGATACATCCCATTTCTAATCACACTGCACTGGCCCAAACAAGCCACATGATCCTGCCTCAAAAGAGGTAGAGAAGCACAATTCTACCATGTGCTTAGAAGAAAGGAATGTTGGGTGAGCAGCATTAGTGACTAGTATAGTATCTAATGAGTTAATTTAAGGGTAGTTAATCTGAAAAGAGCAGTTGAGGATTGGGATTACAGACGTGTAATCTGTTAGATTGTCTCTGCTTGCCAGTGAGAGAATCGAGCTGAGGCCAAATCTTGGGTACTAGCATTCCAGGACTCCGGACCCTGTGATTCCATGAAAGTTGGGGTTGGAGGCCACGATGGAGCCAGGAGGTTGTAACGGAGACTAGCTGGATCATAAGGGTCAAGCAGAGCAGCGACAGAGCCCTGGCGACCAGAACCCCTTCAGACGAGCAGAGCCACGATCTGCCGCTGCAGATGATTTCTGCTCTTTTGTGGTCTTTGAGCCTTTGTGCTTTATTTGAATTTAAGTTGGCAACATCTTTGGGTTTTTTCCTATTTTACTGTTTTGTTGTATTTTTCTTTAAAAAAATTTTTGTTGAATTTATTGGGGTGACATTGGTTCATAAAATTACATAGATTTCAAGTGCACAATTCTAACAGAATAAATCATCTATATATTGTATTGTGTTCACCACCCAAAGTCAAGCCTCTCTCTGTCACCATTTACACCTGCTCTACCCCCATCTACCTCCCCCCACCCCCTTTTCCCCCTTGTAATCACTGTACTGGTGAAGTTGGCAATGCCTTTGGAGGTGCTGGGATACTTAACAGAGACAACTCTTCAATTGAGCCTTGAAGGAAATGTAGGCTGTGGGTTGGCGGAGGCATGGTCAGGGCATTCTGGAAGTAAGTGGTAGCGAAAGCACCAGTGCAGTCAGAAGTAGGATGCTATGAAGTTGTTAACAATATAGGCCTTCTTAAAACAGGATGAAATAAAAGAACCACAGGGAATTAGTTGCAGAATGATCCATGTTTAGTTATCACTACTTAATGTTTGCCTTTGAAGTATCCTGTCTCACAGTATCCCGAGTCACTGACGCTGATGCTTCAATCCGCCCACTTACCGAATGGATGTAGGATCCTCCCTAGCTCTACTCACGTCTGAACGTCCCATGTTAACCTAAATGTGACCCAAACATCTTGTCCAAACTTTCTCTACCAATCTGAGTTAGGAGAAAAATTATTTAAGGCATACTTAGTCTAGCAGGAGTCGTTTGAGACTGCATTCATGTAGTTCTTGGCATGAAATGGAATATTACCGTGTTTTGCCATGTATCATGCACTCCTATGTTTAGCGTGCACCCACGTTTTTGGCATAAATTTTCAGGAAGAAAACATTTCGTTTTCATTTTTAATTCAATTATTTATTTATTTATATTTAGAAACAAAACCAGTTATCATATTCCAGGGTATTATTCTGCATGTGGATATTGTTACTGCTTTCTAGAGTTACACATTAATGCATAAGCATAAATTTAAAAATTTGAAACATTCATATATATGGAATTGGTACTACCCATGTATACTGCGCATCCTTACTTTTCCTCATGTCTAAATGTTTCAGTGAACAAAAGGCTTTCCAATCAAACACCCGTTCCTTGGACACAGCACTTGGCTAATCAACTGAATTTAGGTTTCTTTACCTGGACACTTTGGTATTATATAGGTCTGCCCTTCGTGTCGGATCTACTAGACTTTGGGGAACTGCTTTCATTCTTCCAGCTTCCCTGCTACTCGTGTGAGGACAGTGCTGTCAGGGGGTCCTTGGATCTGGGGAATTGCCCCGCTGGGGTCTTTGTCCGTACAGGGGGTGTGCTCCAGTGGGGCAGCAGTTTTGCCATTTTTCAGCATTATAATATTTCTATGTGACTTAACTGAATTTGGGGGAATATATTACTAAAAGATGTAAGAATCCTTTTAATTTTCCAAACTGTCTGTAACACCAAAAATTTGTTAACATTAGGGCAATATACATTCTTCGGCAAGACCAACCAATGTGTTAGAAATGATGAAAGAGTGGAAAAACAACCCAGGGAGTGATGAAGAAAACGCCGCAGAGCAAAAGAACAAGTGGTCCAATCGAGAAAAGCCGGAAGTTTCCCAACTCAGCAGACCCGGAGGAGCTGCCCACGACGGCGCCAGCACTTCAGATGAAGACGAGGAGAGACAGGTAGGAGGAACCAACAGAGCCAGTAGGCGGAACGGTCGTTTCGTTCTCCAAACTGTAAAATACCCTCCCAGAACTTGGAACATCTCGTGCCACCCTGTCTTTTTTTGTTGGTGGTTCGTAACAGAGGCCCTACCTGACAAAGCAAGTAAAGTTCCTTCCTCCCTTGAGACCGTCATGGTGTAGCAGTGTTGCCTGCATGCTGAAGACCCCTGCATAGAGGGCAGGGGTCTGCAAAGGGAGATCAGACGGATCTTAGGCTGTGGGGGCCACAGTACTGTGTCAGAACTTCTCAGCTCCGATATTGTAGCATGAAGACAGGCACAGGCAACTTTAGGACTTGGAAACAGGTGGCCTGTCAGATTCAGCCCATGGGTTAGAATGAACAATTTTTACTCTACCAGGCCATACAGTTTGGAATGTGTTTGTGTATTACTTAGACAAAGAATTATTACATTATCTAGTTAATTGTGTCTAGTCTTTTGATACCTAAAACTACTTATGTAGGTTTATCATGTTGTTTTACTAGATCTAAAGAATAGTTTTATTCTTTTCGGTGAATAAATTTTTGTAAAATTCTGAATGATTCTAGATTGTGTTCTACTAAAAGAATATGCTCACAATATACCCGAACACTTTTATGTGTTTGTGGGGAAGAGTTTTCTGCATGTTTATTTTCTTTCGTGTTGTGAAATCTGCTGAGTGCACTTGAGCTCTTCTTTGATGATTGAGCCCCCTGCCGGTGGGGGCTGTGTGCCCCTGAGGGCAGCCCAGACCTCCTGTGGGGAGTTGCTACTCTTTGGTTCTTGGAGTGGGACTGAGAGGGTAGGGCCTGGCCCACACCCTGTGTTCTCGGAAGCCCGTCAGAAACTGGCAGAAAGAGACCTAGTGATTAATTGATTTTGATGTACTGGTTGGGAACTTCATCTACTTGATAGCAAATATCTAAATGATAAGCTTAATGTTTAATGATTCAGGTATTTTGAAATAATCATATTTTTGTCGTAATGTAAACATGAATTTACTGAGATCCCTTCTTCCTCTGTATCTGTTAACAGCTCCTGCAGTGCTTCACTGCTGTGTGTGTTTTCTTTCTTGTTAAAAATGATATTTAAAAAACCCACATTTTCATTTTCTTATTGAACATAATTTGAAGATTTTCCTATTAGCTGGCTTAGTATTTTATACACACATGTATATATGCACATACTGATACACACATACACAGACACATATACACAGACATCATGTGCAAACACATATGTTTACATACTAATACACATAGATCACACATATATACTCCCATGCATCTACATACACTCACATCTGTACAAACACATACTTACATACACATGCATACACACACGTTATCTTTTGAAGCCTTGGGTTATGTCTGTGTTTGTCGCTGAATCTGGCATGAAATATCCCTGAACCAAATGTCTGGTTGTCTTCCCTCACCTTTTCTCCTGCTCCGTCACACATCTGCTCTCTCCTCTGCTTCCCCCTCCAAGTCACAAAGTGTTGGGACTTGCTAAGCTGTTCTCAGCTACTTCCAGCTGGGGAACAGAAGAGTTGGAACTTGAGGAGCTTATGGGTGATAGAGCTATACCCAGTGGGTTGAGAATTCAAGAATATAGATTTCTACCCAACAGGAAGAACTAGTCCACTATCAGAGCTCATCTGCAGTCGAACAGGCTGGACCAGGGAGAGTGGACCCACCTCCCAGGTATTGCAGGTGTTCAGGCAGACTCTGGAAAGGTACTTGCTATAAATGCTGTAGCAGAAATTCCTGCACGATGGGCAGGACTTTGCCCTGGAAACTAAGGAGTGACTAAGGAACTTTCCCATGCTTAAGTTTAGGCTGTGATGTCTTAGGAGGGATACCTTTACCTGTTTGGGAATTTTTCTGAAAAGTGTTACCACTTGAAAGAAAGAATCCTTGCCTTGGCCAGGGACCCAGTTGGTTGAAGCATTGTACCATGCGCCGAAGGCCTGAGGGTCCAATCCCTGGTCAGGGCACACACCCAGGTTATGGGTTCGATTCCCAGTTAGAGGCAGTAAGTTGATCTTTCTCTCTCACATTGATGTTTCTTTCTCTGTCTCTCTAAAATCAGTAAAAACATATTCTCTGGCAAGGATAAAAAACAGAAGAATTCTCATGCATTTAATAAACTAAGTTTTTTTCCAAGGATTTTTATGAATAAATATGATACTTTGCTAATTATATTGAGTTTACGTTAAGAAATTACTTCTTTTGAAACCTTCATTCACGGTGGGCAGTGATACCTAAAGCTCTGAGGGACACTGAGAACAGGGCGGCCAGTTACTCTCGAGCCCATACAGGGGTCACACAGTCATTCATGTTCTTAGGAGTGGAATTTTAATTTTATTGAAATTTATTCTGTGAATATTGAAATGCTTCCCACGGGGAAATTTTGTTTGTTACAATGACATTATATGGACTATATGATATGATAATATGAGTAACCTATATCTACTAAATTAAGAAGATGTATATGATTATCTTTCCATTAAAATCTTCGAAATTTGGCTTTATTTACATGGAAATCTATCAGCAGTTCCTACTCTCCATTGTATAAACCCATTTAGAGCTCCTAATGTTGTATCATCACAAGCCAGGAAAATTACATTTTTTAGGTAAGTGCCAGAACCCTTGGAAAACTAACAGACAAAGTGAGGATTTGTTCAAAAACAAAAACACTTGAACTGAGCACTTTTCTCTTTCCCCGAGTAACCGTTCCCTAGTTCCAAACGCCCTGCACGTGGTGGGGAACACAGTTCGCTTTTTGAAACTTGTTTTCACGTAGTTGGCATTTGGCTGTCTGTCCTTTCTTTTTTCTTTTCATTTCTAACTTTTTGTGTATTTTAGGTAATGGCATTCTTTGAGGACAGAAACGTTCTTTCATGTATATCTTATGTTTTCCAAGCTGAGCACGTCTAGGTAACGTTTTGTGCCATTAGTGACCCTCTGAAGGCCCCACGGTGGGTCCTGGATCTACTCTCAGGCCCGAGACAAACTTTGACCGCAGCCTTCACTCCTCGTCCAGTGAGACACCTGGCGGAGCATTGCTTCTTGCAGGAGCATGTGCCTTTTAACATTAGGTCTTTAGTGACTTCTCATAAACAGTACTGATACTTTCACTATTTATTAAGCTCAGAAAACAATTTGTTTGTATGTGTGTAATTAAAATGCACCTCCTTGTAATCTTAGAGGGAGGGACTAGAAACTCTGGGTGTGATTTAAGGACTGTATTTGCCTTATAGAATTCCTGCTTCATGAAGGGGATACTTCTTCATTGTTAAATTATTTATTGAATGCAGTCGAATATATTTGTTTAATGAAAATGGGAAACATTTTTTATTCTTTTGTGATCATTTTTCTTGGCTGCAAACCTGGCCTTTATGGTATTGTAGGTGATGGTACATGTGGCAGATACTTTACCCAGTCTGGAAAGCAGAAAGGCAAGGTGGCTTAGAGACTTGGAAAGTTACTGTGATCAGTGAAATGTATTCATATATTAGTTCTTCAAGGACAAGATGTGTTTGAATTGAAATAACATTGAAATTAAACAGTTGAGTTATGTTGATATGTTTTATTGAGGAAAAAGTCAGGTTTTCATGGTATTTTAGTTGAGTAGGATAAAAAAATTTTCTTTTCTTTACAAATTGAATCTTAGCCCTCTGAGCTCATGTGAATCTGTGCAGGTTTGGTGGTGTTTTCATGATTTGCATGCTTTTGTTCTCCAGTATTGAAGCATTGCAGTCTGGCACATGTCCATGCACTGCATTTGAAATAGCATGGTGGTTAGAGCACAGGTTCCAAGCCTAGATGCCGGGGTTCAAATCCTGGCTTCACCACTTGCAAACTTTTCAACCTTGGGCAAGTCTGTAGGCCTCATCTGTAAAATGTTTTCATTTTGAAAACATTCATGTTTTCTCATCTGTAAAATGGGATTAATAGCATTAACCAAGAGCTAAATGAAATGTTACAGGTAACTCTTGACATGCGATAAGCACAGATTAATGTTAACTTATTACTATTATTATTATTAATTTATTTGTTTTGAGAGGGAGGGGACAGGAGGGAGAATGAGAGGGAGACAAGCATCGCTGTGTGAGAGATACATGGACTGGTTGCCTTTCACACACCCCCAACTGGGGACCCAGCCTGCAGCCCAGGCTTGTGCCCTGACTGGGTCAAATCAGCGACCTTTTGGTTCTCAGGCTGGCACTCAGTCTACTGAGCCACACCAGCCAGGGCTAATGTTAACTTATTTTATTATTATATTGCTAAAGAACTTGTGTAGAATATAACTAAAATTGCGTGATTTTTGCCTGCCTATTTCAAGGCTTCTTTGGCTATAGGTGTTAGAACAAACTAAGAACAAGAAATACCATTTTCAAAGGCAATAAGGTGATGCTTCCAACCTTAGTTGTCCTCTGAGTTTGGTGGGGTCCCCAGTGTACTGTGGGAGACTGTGTTATTTTCCCCAGTTGTTTAACCCCTCCCTGTAAGGGGTTGTACGTTCACACCCTTTGCCCTGTGACTTTGCAGCTCTGCCTGTTACAATAAATGAAGTTTTCTTTTTCACTCCACTAATGTTCATCTGAGTTACATGACTCACTTTGGCTCCTAGAATGTGAAGAGGTGTAATGTAAGCAGAGACCTTAAAAGTATTTGTGTGACCGCTTGCTCTGTGTATGTCTGCCGCCCGCCGTGAGGAGCCCCAGGTCTCGGAATCCTAAGGATTATGGACCAGACCTGAACCCAAAGCAAAGCCCAAAGTCTAACCTAACACAGCCAAGCCCTGCAGCTAATTGAGAAAAAGTAATGTCTATTGTTACAATACTTTTGTGCTTGTTTTTTATGTCGTTATACAGAAAAGAGTTAACAAATCAGGCCTACACTGCTATCATTCAAAGGTTTGCTTGCAAGGCTGGCCCTTGGCTGGCTTCTGAGAACTGAGGTTTTGGGATGGTTG